AGAAAGAGATGGTTGACGAGAAGGGGTTAGCACTCGGAGGTCGCCGACAAGATCGGTGAGTAGTGCTAATCCCCGCTTGTCGAAACTGGCTAATCTGTGACCATAGGGGAAGTGTGGGGTGGGGTGTAAAGGGGTGTGTTTACAAATGACCGCCGGTATGAGTCGAACGACTCCCGCGAGATGGAAAAAGTGCTCGATCTCGCTGTTGCCGGTGCCGATGGGGAGACTGCCGCTTTTGTTGTCGGTTGAGGTGCGCGCGAGGTAGCGCCGCGGCCAGGAGGCTTCTTCTCGTTCAATGGGGGATGGCTGGGGGGTTGGTTAGTTTTGGGGTGACAATAATGCGGCGGGATTCTGAGAGAGGGCAAACTTACTGGCAGGTAAACGCCACTGTCGTCGACCACTAGTTGTGGAACCCATTGTTAGTCCTCAATACTCGAACCCGGCAACAGCCGGAGGGTGGCTTGACTAGCGAACAGGGGGTCTGAGTGCCGCGGCTGGGATGTTTGCCGCGGGGTCCGGCCGGTGGGCGGTCGTGAACATACCACTCATTTTATACTCGCCCGTGTCCTGGCTCGGCCTGCTGCTGCGGATGCTGAATGCCGACGACGCCTTGGACCCGACAGTGTCCACCCTCTCAAACCCGGGGTGTGCGGCGTCGGTCGTGGTGGGCCCCGCGGCAGAGCCCGGCCGGGAGCTCTCATCGTGAGCGGTGGCGGGGCCGGGTCGGCGAGCGAACGGGTTGCGAATTGGCATTGTTGTGTATGCGTGTGTATAATCCGGATTATGAGATTGGGTAGGTAGGTGGACTGATCGATCGAGGTAGGAAGTGGATGGTGAAGTCTCAAGGTATCAATGGATTGTTAGGGGGTTTAAAGGGGGCAATATCAATGGCTCGAAGCACCGAGACAAGAAGGATATAAGTGAGAAGAGTGAAAAGCGAACTCGGCATTCACAACGCATGCAGGAATGTCTGTCAATTCAAATGAGCCGGCTCCTTGGGCTTGTCAGCAACCCACAGCGGGAAAGTGGCACCGAACGGCTCTGGTTGGTCCAGATTCCAGGTCCGGTTGACAGCAAGGGCAGGCGGTGCCCAGCGTGTTGCTCACTCCTTGGCCCCCCGGCAATCTAGGTCCTGGGGTCCAGGAACTGCTTGGAGATGCGATGAACTCCCGTCCCTTGTGGCATCATTGACCCCACCAGTTCTCATAACCAAGTATACACGGAGCGATGAGCTATTCAGCAATGACTCAACCTCAAAAAAAGAAAGAAACAAAGCCATTGAGCTGCTATTGTGTTTGTTGCCGCCGTCGCTGCTAGCCTCGTGACCACCCACCATGAAGCCGAGCTAATGGCGAAGGCGTCCGATGGCTCGCCCCTCAGCCCGCCCGAGATGCACAGCGCCACGTTCCGATGCAACGGCGCCCGACTTTGCCCTCTCACCCGAGGAGATGCTCGAGTTGTAGGACGAAACAAAAGTTCTCTAGAAGCCTAGAAAAGTTTTATTTCCTCGATTTTCTTTCTTTTAACTCGGTCTTTGTGTTGATGTCTTTTCCTCTAACTATTCTTTCTCTTTTTATTGTTTTTTTCTAGTTTCTTTTACACGAACCTCAAGTTCGGCTTTCTTAGCTAGAGGGTGCCTCTCACATGTACACGAGATTGGTTCACCTTGGCATCCATATCGGTAAGTTGAATCTCAAAGTCGATCAGGGCATTCGCCACGCCGATCAAGATCGAGTTTTGCGAGCCCACCTCCCGCCAGCCCACTCAATCTGTGTGATCGCCGGAAAGTAGGTGAACCGGAGGTTGTGTTACCGAGGATGGGGTACGGGCCCGCAGGTGAGCAACCTCGCGACCTGGAAGTGACGCAAAGTCTACACAGTACTTTGCGGGAGGCGGCACAGTGTGGGACTAAACCGGCAAGATCGGTTGCTGAGAGCCCGGTCCATTCAAAGCCTCAATCCTACTGCGACAGAAGATCAATTCTCATGGTGCCCACACGCCGAGCAAGATATGGGACCAGCCGTGATCGTGAACACATTAGTTACCTAGGTAGGTAGGTCCTCATGTCCCAGCAACCCTAGTCCGACTCGCTCTCCTCGCTGCTCGAAAACCCATTGAACTCCTCCTCGGACTCGTCCAACACCCCAACCCCACCCTCGCTCGGGTCCTCGTCTTGCTCCTCGATCTCGAACATGCCGCTGACGTCCCACCGGTCACCCTTTGCGCTGGCGCTAACATATTTAACAAAGCGCAGAGTCCCGCTGTCGCGGAGCACGATGGACATCTTATTCCACGCCGCCGCCTGGAAAAAGAGGATGTTGTCGTCGTCGGCGCTGCTCTTGTAAATGGCAGCGTCTTCGTTGTCGTCGTCGTCGCCAGCCATGTACACCTCGTGGCCGCCAACCTCCTCTTCTTTATCATCGTCCATGTCCACGTCTTGGTCGACTGCCTTTCCCTTCCCCTTCCCCTTGGCCTTATCGTTGGCATTGCTCTTGCCGTTTGCAGCAGTCTTCTTTCCGTTCTTGCTGCTGTGGCTCTCCTCAGGTTCTGACGAGGCTTCCGAGCTCGCATCGTCATCTTCGATGTCGCCCCAGCCCTCTGTGGGGGTCAGCCCAATGTTCACTTCCAGCCTCGGCTTGCCTTCGTGCCCAGTCGCGAGTGTGTAGTCCTTGCCGTGGCGGAACCGCCGGGCCAGAAGATCGTGGCTTTCTATGTGAGAGCGCGTCGCCATTTGCAACCAGAGGCGGAATTGCTTAGACGGCAGCAGAACCTCAAGCAGCTCTTTCAACGGCGAATCCTCTAGTTTCTTCTGGCCGGGCTGAAGGTAAAGATAGCGGTGCTTGTGTGGCGGGCGGGCAACCTTCCATGCGCCCTTCTCGATCTCCTTGCTGTCCTGTGGTGTCGTCTTTGCCTCTTGTGATTCGACGTACTGCCGCAGCTTTTCGGCAAACTTGGGATGCAGTATGTCTGGCAACGTGATGCTAAACTCCTCCTCGAAGTGGTCCGCGATGCGCTCGACCGTGTCGGGCACTAGGTAGGTCGGGGCAATATATTTGAGCAGGAATTCGAGATCCGCCGCGTCCAGAGGGAAATCGTCGCTGTCTTCATCATCCTCGTCCTCGACCTCAACCGGCTTCGCCTGGGGTTGGTCGTGTTGATCAGGGTTGCCTTGTAGTTGCATCAGGCCACTCTTTTGCGCCGCCTTTTCCTCGGCTCCCTCGACATACCCATCCTCCCCAGGTTGGGGAATATGGAACCAGCCGCTAATAGCCATGCGAATCCGCCCGCCATTCTTCTCCAGCTCCTCGTTGGACGCGGCGTGGTACACTTCTTCGACGTCGTGGAATGACTCGCCCGGTTGTACCGCGAAGAAAGATAGCTGGTTCCATGCTGGCGGAATGACTTTGGCGACATCGGGTAAAGGTGTCTTGGCCACCTCACCATCCTTCCCCTTGCGATCCACCACAGGAAACAGCCGCAATGCGCCACCCCATTCGGGCTGCCAAGGTGTGTCCGGGTCGGTCAGGTACAAGATGTAGCTGACTTTGCGAGAACCGATGACATCGTCGTGGCACAGTAGGTAGCAGCCAGGGGTATAGACGTTGATGGCCATGTCGGTCTTGCGCCCACTCAGGGGCCCGCAGTTGGTGATGTGAGAAACATAGTCGCGGAAGGTTTGCGAGTAGAGCGCGTCGCGCAGCGCAAGGAGCGAGGGCAGTTTCGCTAGCGCTTCATTATCTAGGCCGTCCAAGTTCGCGAGATCGCCGCTTTGGTGGATCTTGTAAATGTCGGTTTCCTTAGGGGTGAAGTGGACGTTCGTCTTGATCTCGGACCGAACGTTGCGCAGGAGGTTATCGTCGACCAGGCCGGTGATCACGCCGTGCTTATAGGGGCTCGACGAGGCATACTGCGAGGTGTGCTTGTCGAGGACGCCCTTGTTAAAGAGACCCTTCCGAAATCGAGCTTTGGCATCTTCGTCGCTGAGAGCTATCGTGGGTAAGCGTGCGCCAGGACGATGGACGAGGAGCGGGCGGAATTACTGTTCTTGGATCGCTTCTTGGCTGCCTTTTTGGCGTCGGCGGGACCAGAGGCCTTTCTTTTCATGGTGAGGATTGAATTGAGTTCTTCACAAAAGAAATGCAAAGATCGTTACGGACTCAACAAGCAGAGGAAGGAAGGCGCCTTCGAGGAATGGGTGGGCTGATACGAGATGAATATACTGCGGTGGCCCACGCAGAAACCGTTGTGGGGCCCAAATCTTTTTCTCCCCACGTCTCCCCACCATTGCGTTGACCCCTGTCCAAGTTACTCTTTCGCGACTCCCCACACCCACAGCAACTGATTGCATGATTGCTCTCAATTCGCTGTTCGGATGGCGACCCAGATGGCGCCTTAAACGAAGCGCCGTGGCCATTGCTGCATGACGTCTGAAGCGCTTATCCCCTCGTTTCCCTCAGCGGCGTTCCACTGTTGAGCGAGCGGCAATAGGCGCTGAAATGCAACTCATGCGTTTTGGGGCGCTGTGCGGGCTTATCATTCATGCCATATGCCTCCATCGCTCGACCTGGGCGCTACCTGCCAACTGAGACCAAGTTTCCGGGACTCCAGCTGGGCGGTTCCTGGCTCCTGTTAGCTCTGATCTCGTTAAGCATCGGCGGCGGTTCGGATATCAGTGGAACATCACGCGCAAATAACTGCAAAAAAGGAAAATGACAAGCGGCTCTATGGAACCGCCGGGCAGGCGAGGCAAGATACAAAGTCTCGCAACTCCCGGAACTCGGCCCCGCTCCCTAAGTAGGAAGGCAGGTCGGTCATTCAGGAGTTAAACCTGCCGATGGGGTTGGAGAACCCCAACCCACAGGTAAGTTGCTGCCGGAAGCGACAGCTTTGTCAAGTTCCGCCTCCGTGCGCCTTTCTTTCGACATGGCCGGCCACCTTCCTTACCCACCGTAGCCCGGACCGGGCCGCTCGTAGAGGTACCGGGTGGGCCGTGCGGGGCCCCGGCAACCGGTTTACATATATGCCAGGGGCAACTGTCACGTCTGTTCCTGTCTTTCTTATGTTACCATCTCAAAACTGAGGAGGTCGTGAAGATCCCCTCTGCACCACTTCGTCCTCGTTCATTCTCTCATCCCTATTTCCTTACCGTCGTACTTTGCGGTCCCCCACCGGACGACCTAATAACCGCACAATGGCCGTCGCTCTGGACATGGACGAAGTGAGGGGGAATTTCCCCGCATTGGCTGGAGGGAATGTGTACTTTGACAATGCCGGCGGCTCCCTGACGTTGGGGGCCGTGGCTGAACGGTATGTGTAAAGAGCTCTCCCTATCTAAAAGAGGACCGAGTTGACGCGTGCCTTAGCATCCGAGACTACCTCCTGAACACCAACGTCCAGCTTGGGGCCAGCTATGCCACATCCCAAGTGGCCACAAAGCGCTATGCCGAGGGCTATGCTGCCGCCGCAGAGTTCATTGGCGCCTCACCAGAGGAAGTGGGTGTGTATTACCCCTGAATGTGAGTATATCGCGAAGCGTCGTCTCACAACAACCCCCAGCGCTCGGCCCGTCTACTACGCAACTACTCTACAACGTCTCCTACGCCCTAAACTTCCAAGAAGGCGACGAGATCATCGTCTCCATCATCGACCACGAAGCCAACATCGCGCCCTGGGTCCTCCTCGCCCAGCGCCAAAACCTCACCCTCAAATGGTGGCACCCCAACACCACCACCACCACCCCCACCAACCCCACCCTCCTCGCCTCTGACCTCCCCGCCCTCCTCACCCCCAAAACCCGCCTCGTCACCTGCACCCACGCCAGCAACATCCTCGGCACCATCCACGACATCCGCGCCATCACCGCCACCGTGCGCGCCCACAGCCCGCACGCCCTCGTCTGCGTCGACGCCGTCGCCTACGCGCCCCACCGGCCCATCGACGTCCGCGCCCTCGGCGCAGACTTCTACACCTTCTCCTGGTACAAGGTCTACGGCCCGCACCTGGCCCTGCTCTACGCCAGCCCGCGCGCCCTGGCCGCCCTGCGCTCGTTGGGACATTTCTTTAATAACCACCGCTCGCTGGAGGATAAGTTGGGTCTGGCGGCGGCCGGGTATGAGCTGGTGCATGCGCTGCCGGCGGTGGTGGCGTATTTGCGGGGGGGGGAGGGGGGCCGTTGGGCGGGCGTGGCGGCGCAGGAGCGGGCGTTGCAGGGGGTGTTGTTGGGGTGGTTGGCAGGGCGCGAGGATGTGACCGTGTATGGGGAGGGTGGTAGTAGTGGTGGTGGTGGTGATGGCGGGGAGGATGTGCGTGTGCCGACGGTGAGCTTTACCGTGCGTGGCTGGGGGTCGAGGGCGCTGGTGGAAAGGGTGGAGGCGGAGTGTGAGGGGGCGGTTGGGTTCCGGTGGGGGAGCTTTTACTCGAAGCGGTTGGTGAGCGAGGTGTTGGGGCTTGGGGAGAAGGGGGTGGTGAGGGTGAGTATGGTGCATTATAACACGGGTAAGTTTGCGCTCTCCCATGAATGTGCCTGAGGAAGGGGTGCTGACGGTGGCTTAGTGGACGAGGTGAAGCGGTTGATTGGGCTGCTGGAGAAGGTGCTAGATGAGAAGAGGTGAGTTGCGGGTGTGTGTCGGAGTGTATGTGTGGTTGAACTGACGGTGCGGGAGCCCTAGCATGAAATTGTAGAGGAATTGGGCGTGGTAGAAGCTGGGCAACAGATACATAGCATAGACAGTTTCCCGAATCCCAGCTTGTAAACGATGAGCAAGTTCTCCGCACGTTAGTTATCTGGTTTCAAAAGGTGACATTTAAAACATGGCCATAATTTCTCTGAGTATAGTCGACTTTGCGTATGCATAAGCTAACACCGCTCCACTAGGTATCCCCATCAACAATCAAATCTCGCTCCTATCAACATGCAACATATATGTGCCCCCTTACTTATAACTTCCCGGTCCTCTTGTCAACGGCCTCGCGCAACAGCGCAATGACGCCGGCGGGGTCCTTGGCTCCGAACACAGCGCTCCCCGCAACAATGACGTTCGCTCCGGCATCGGCTGCCTGGTCGATGGTGCCGGGCCCCAATCCACCGTCAACCTCGATGTTCAAATCCGGGTACCGTGCCCGCAGCGCCTCCACCTTGGGCAGCTCCGAGGCCATGAACTTTTGTCCGCCGAACCCGGGCTCGACCGTCATCACTAGAACCATCTATGGCACGGCCACGGCCAACCACCATCAGCACGCGACACAGTAGTTTCAATATCCACAGAAACCCAGGAAATGGGGTCTTACATCCGGCCTCTCGGTCTCGTCGGGGCTATCCAGCACTTCGTAGAGCACGTCGGCCTTGGTGGCGGGCTTGATGGCGATGCCGGCCAGCATGCCCTGCTGGTGGATGTAGCGGATCAGCTCGCGCGGCGACGTCTTGTGCTCGGAGTGGGCCTCGGGGCTCTCGGCGGCGGTCGAGTTCACGGCGGCTTCGTAGTGGAAGCAGTACAGGTCGCAGCCGGCGGCCTTGAACTCCTTGACCCATTTCTTGGGCTGGGTGGCGGGGTGTGGGCAGACACGGTGTTAGATAGGTTGCGTCTTGTTGTGTGGGTGGGTAGTGGAATAGGGAGGGGTGGTTACCTCGGCGATCATCATGTGGCAGTCGAAGGTGCCCTTGCCGTGGCTCTCGGTCGGCTTGTCGACGTGGGAGCGGATCTTAGCGACGACGGGGGGGCCGAAGGTGAGGTTGGGAACGAAGTGGCCGTCCCTAAGTACCGAATCAATATAGAACTTTTGTGAGATCCATTCCCCTCACGTTGGTTGACGTACATGATGTCGACATGGAGCCAGTCGGCGCCCTGCTCGATCGTCCTGGAACATTCGGCACCCAGGTTGGCAAAGTCTGCCGATAGAATTGACGGGGCGATGATCGCTTTGGGAGCCATCGTTACTACCGTGATGATGGACTGTTCCTAGGTGGGAGTAGAGACTATATGTGCCTGAAACTAGAGATGAGACGAAGTTGAACCTAATTCCGAATCGGAGCTCTCAACCTCGAATGGAAGCTTGGGATACCTTGGTATGGAATTGGCGGGGGCGGGGCATCATAGCAGGGCCAGGGTCCGATAAGATAGCTAACGGCAGATGGGGAGCTGCTAGGTTGTGGGTCCGGTCGGGCCCTGACATCACTCAACCCTTCTGGGGCCCTGAAGCAACTCCCCCAACAAATGGATCGTGAGGATAGGTCACTCACTCATCAACCAAACAACCGAACAACCTAGAATACCCCCGCTCATCGAAAAAGCATCTCTGTTCATGAACCTCTCCACTATGCCAGCAGGGTGAACAGTAAAAAATAAACAAAATGGCATCCCTCCTGTCATACGTGCCGCTGGTCAATCGACTAGTGTCGACTGGCGATGAACCACAGACAGTTAACCTCCCTCCCGTCGAAGTGCACAGTGTTGAAGCGAATCCGGACAAAACACCACGCACCCTCAAACATCTCCTAAAGGCAAACCATGTCAACCACTCCATTCTTTACCACAATCTCCAGTTTGACAACCACTTGCCCCATATCCTATGCTCAGCCTACCATCTCGGCGCCGAGTCACGCCAGCTCTACCACATCTACGATGAAGAGTCCAAAACTCTCGAACCATGGAAGGACTCGCCTTCTCAGATGGCCGAGGATGACTGGCGGGATTACTTGGGCGATAAGCGGTACCAACGGGCCTTTGTGGATTTCTTTGAGGATGCCCTCGCTATGAACCATGCCTACGACTGGAAGGGTGTGATTAAAGAGTATATGTTCAAGGGCGAAGAGCCTCTGATTAACTGCCTCATCGGTGGCCGTATGTAACACCCAACACATTCACACCCACTCTCCCCCTTGATCTTCTTCACAAACCCATCCCACTAACACCCTCACAGTCGGCCACCCTCTCATCCACCTTGGCTACGCCTACGAGTTCGACAGCCGCGAAATTGCCATGGAAGCCCTCGGTCTCGCCGCAACGCAGTACAACTTCCTGCACAAATACTCCGACGACCCCTCCTACGCCCGCCCCGCGCCCTTCTCCTCCACCTCCCCCCTCGAACTAATCAACAAGCTCGCCTCCGATACCCGCTTCGACGGTCTCTTCAAGACGCCAGGCTACGCCAACATCGAACCCCTCTTCCAGCAACACGAATCCCTCATCCTCGAGTACTGGAACGCCTGGGACATCTCCACCCCCTCCACGAAATCCACCACCGACCTAACCTCCCTCTTCCGGTTCTCCCAAGAAGCCGCCGTCGCCCTGCTCGTGGCCACCGTACGGCCCGGCACGCACGCGTACAACTTCTTCGTCGTGCACGTGCTGACCACTAGCCACGCCGTGCGTATCCTGCTGCCGCTGATGCCCGCCAAGTGGCACGCCCCGCTCGTCCGCCAGTGGTGGCTGCTCGCCCTGGCCGTGTACATCGCCGTGCTGCGGCCGGCCGTCGATCCCGACTATGTCGACCCCGGGGATCTGAAGGGCCGCGGGTGGAAGTATGTGGAGAATAGGGCGTTGGATTCGGAGTGGAGGACCGATGCGCATTTTGTTAAGGGTGAGTCTGTCTTTCTTGGGTTTGGTCTATCTGGGCTGGGGTTGGGGTCGGGGAAGCTGTAGTGGTGGGATGGGGGTTGTATGTCCATCTTTTGCTAACCTGGGACAGCTGTGCGGGCGATGAGGGAGGCTGCGAGGACGTGGGGGGATGTGCATAACCGCTATCTTGCTGCGGCGGTCAAGTTTGTGGACGGCTTTGAGGGGTGGGTGCATTGAGGGCTTGGGTAGGTAGGCTGGGGCGGGGCTAACACAGTAGATTGGATCGAAGCCATGTCCCGTTCGCTTGTTGCGTCCTACGGCTTTCTATGAGTATGTATGTACATCCACGGCATAATATCCCTGACCGTCTCCTGCGGTATGGGGATTCAGAAACTGCATTAAACGAAATCAAAGGGGTCAAAATATGGGTGGATAACGCATCTCGCAGAGGAAGCCATTTCAAGGTTCACAGATACAGGTATACGCTATACGCGTTTCGATGAGCATATGAATCGGGCGTGACTAAGTTGACGCGTGTGCCGCCTTTGACGTCTGTGGCTGAGCCTCGCTCATCTGCTTGGTCAAAACCCAGAGCCTGGTTTGCTCGCCTGCGAATAGTGTCTCCCAGTCCTTGTCGTATCATTCGTATAAGCATTGGAGACTCAGCCGCGCGGTCGATCAGCACCGAGAGCATATAATGACGTGGTGTGTAGAATGACAATGGCGATGATCGTTTACCCAATACGGTGTTCTGAAGGGTGTCATAAAAGGTTTCTTGATAACTGCAGCATCACGACTATCACGGAACTATGGAGGCAAAATCTCGAGATCTGTAAGGGGTAATCCGTTATGCTGCTCTCCTACGTCTGTACCTTGGCCTCAGCGCTCGCTGGGAGCGCGCTCTGTAACCCAACCACGGCCCGGTCGTCACATAGCGGCGATGGCTTGATCGACCTTGGCTATGCAAAGCATGTCCCGACGTACATCAACACCACGGCCTCGGGCCAGCGCGTCGCCGTATACAAAAACATCCGCTTCGCCAACCCCCCGACCGGCAACCTGCGGTTTCGCGCCCCAGACACGAACCTTCCCCACGTAGACGGAGTCCAGGACGGCAAGGCATTGCCCGACCTGTCCTGCATCTCGTCGGCGCCATGGTTCGTCCCGTTTCCGGGCCTCAACGGCACGACTTGGGGCAGTGAAGACTGCCTGTTCCTAGATGTCTACGTGCCTGAGGGTGTGAAACCGGGAGACGACGTGCCCGTCTTGCACAACTTTCACGGCAGCGCGTACGCGTTTGGCAACAAGGAGATCTTCTTCAACCCCATGGGTCTGTTTGACCTAGCCCACAAGCAGAACGGGGGCAAGTTCATTGCCGTGGCCAACAACTACAGGTCCGTCTACACACTCAGCACCACCACAAAACCAAACAAGGCATTAACTAACCCACCCACAGAATGGGAGTCTCGGGCTTCACCTGGGCTGCCGGCGAGGACCTCGACGGTAACGTCGGCATGCTGGACTGCCTGGCCGCAGCCGAATGGACAGCCAAGTACATCCACAAATTCGGCGGCGCCCGCAACCGCATCACCGCCATCGGCCAAAGCGCCGGCGCCGGTATCCTCTACTACCTCACCGTCCTCCACAACAACAACAACAACAACAACAACAACAACAACCACCACCACCACCACCCCCTCCCCTTCCAGCAAGCCTTCATCTCCTCCCCCGCCGCCCCCCCACGCCGCAACGTCACCACTCGCCAGCATCAACTCTTCAACCTAACCCTCACCACCGCCAACTGCACCACGCTCGCCTGCCTGCGCTCCCTCCCCTCCCCCTCTCTCCTCCACCTCAACGACGCCCTCGTCAACCAACAACCCAGCGAAGGCGGCGGCGGCACATTCGGCCCCCTAATCGGCTTCGGGCCGGCCCCCGACGGGCAACGCATCCCCGACCTCCCGCTAGCGCTACTGCGGCAGGGGCGCATGCACAAATCGCTAAAGCGGCTGGTGGTGGGGTCGATGGCCGGGGAGGGGCGGGGGACGTCGTCGGACGAGGGCATGCCGGCGGCGTTCGCGGGGCTGGTGCGGAAGATGTTGCCCGGGGTGGGGGAGGATGGGGTGAGGGAGTTGTTGGGGTTGTATTATACGCCGGGGATGGAGCGCGAGTTGGCGTGGGACTGGACCACGGATGTGGTTTTTGCGTGTAATGGGTATGCGTTGGCGCGGGCGTTGCCCGGGAGGGTGAGGCGGTATGTTATGTCGACGCCGCCGGCGGTGCATGGGCTGGATTTGTTGTGTGAGTTTATCGTTCGTTCGTCGGCTGGCGTGGCCGCCTTCGTGAGATGTTTGGATGTCCGTGCTAACCACAGAGTGTTCGTTCGATGGGGACAGATTATTACTATATCGATCAGGAGCAGACGCCGGTCGACTACCCGGAGCTGGCGCTCGCGTTCCAGGCGAAGTTGCTGGCGCTTGTTCGTGGCGAGGACATGGAGTGGCCGGTGTATGGTGCCGATCAGAATCTCTACAACATCACGGAGTCGTTCGAGGCGACGGGACTGCCAGACAAGTTTCGGGAGCGCTGTGAGTTGGTTCAGAGGCTCGTGCTCGATCCGGCGAACGGTGCGTAGGAGGGTTCGAGGTAGGTTGTTGGAGTCGAGGAGGGGAATCTGCTTTGGCTCTGTTAACTTGCGTCTTTGCTTTTCATAGTAGCGGTAGTAGGGCATACATACTAGGGCTAGGAGCTAAAACCGCAGAAGTTATCTTGAAAAGGAGGTTTTCTGGTCGTACATTTTCGGAGAACATCGGACCTGTCCCACGGAGATTGTCGAGTTGGGCTGCAAAAAGACAATATGCATGGTTTAAACTAAGGAGATCTAAACTGCTGTAGAAACAACCAAGACAGGAGGGCAGATGCTCGTATGTGGAAGCGCTACGGCCCCGTGAATTCAACCGCTATCCCTCTTGCCCGCCCGGAAAAGGGGCTACTGGCCTCCCGCCTAGCGCACCTCCTTCGCATGGACAGATAGACCTCCTTGACAATAACTCCATGCCAAAATGACCAAGCATCGACCAATCCAGACCCGGCATGATCCATACTTCACGGCCAATGATTCACACCACAACTGCCGTGAAAGGGCTGCCAAACCAACCGCAAGCAATCCTCCGAGCTTCATACCTCTCGCCACCGCGGCCATCGACGGCATCCTTCGCACTGGCGAGCCAAATCACATCTCGGGCAGGACACAGATGACAACAGTCAGGCGGGCCAACAAGCGGTCCGAGCGGACAGCGAAGCATGGACCTCCCTCTTGCAAACATTCCTCCATCAACAAACCGGTCGTGGTGGTCGTGGGATAGGTACTCCAGGCAACCTGTACCACACAACACAACACAGCCCCTCCCAAGGCGAAGTTTCCCCCTGAGCAATCCTCAACCCGCACCCCCCCCCCTTGTGGCTTTTCACACTTCCTAGGACCTAGGATCCCCGGTTTATTGCACCCTCGTTGGTGTGTTGTTTGTTCTAGGGCTGGGGCTAGGACTGGGGCTAGGACTATTATGCAATTAGCCCGGGAGGAGTTCTTGGCCCAGCCGAGGATGACAGGATAGGGGATGTGTGGGTGGGTGTTTCTGGTTTGGCACTCCTGTGGGCTAGATTACGAGACAAAACCACGGCCTGCGCCTGCTTGCAGCCTAGGTAGGCTCGTAATACCATCATCAGCTGTAGAGGATGGTGGTTTGAGTTGAGTTGGCGGGTATTATTCCTAATGTGGCATATGGAAGCCGAGGTTATGGACTAGATCGTGAGTTCTTGTTTGAGAGACGACTCCCCATTAGTTTGTGGCGGAGCGTTGACCGTCCGATCTGGTGTTTTGACATAGGGCACGGCATCGTGGCTTGGACGGACATCGTTTCTGAGGTCGTGTTTGGGGCTCCCTTGCTCAATAGGCAGTAGGCCATCCCACGACAACGACAATCTCAAACTCGCTGTGCACACACGCCCTTCCATCAGGGCTCAGGATTCAGGAGCGGGTCTTGGATAGAAGCGGTCGGCTCTTGGCTTCGGGAAATCGATAAGTCCGCCCGCACTAGTTCGAAGCCCGACTTGAAACTGATCTGGCCTGGACTAGGGCACGGCGCTGTGCGGATGTGATTCGACGCCGCCACGTTTCTGTTGGGATATCTCGCGAATCTGTAAAAGGAAACAGAGATGTGACGGGGCACGCTCTCCGGGAAGACCCATCCTTTGCCGCACCGCATCCTCTTCCTTCCCTTGCCCGAGGTGGAGATAGTCTGGCATAGGTGTGCTTGGAGGGAGTGAAAGGGCGGAAATGGCGGAACGGAAAAGAAGCCGCCACCGCCGTGGAGGAGGATTCACCACGAGCAAGCCAGACCATTTCCTCGCCAAGTCCATCCCAGGGTGATCGATGGCCAGCTTCCTCTCTCCTCAAGGTATGCGTCGAGCGAGCGCTTCTCATGACTCCGTAAATAGGAAGCCGGCATCGATCGTGATTTCCGTCATACCGGCTTGGTGGCCGCCATAGTTAGTAGAGCAGACATATCGACAAGACATCGGATGGCGGAGCGACCCCAGCGTTTCACGAGAACAAACGCTCAGAAGGATCTCCAAGCTCCAAGACCTACCCTAGAAAGGTCCTTCGCTTCACTCAGAGCCCCGTATCTAGGCTCTGTACTAGGCAGGAGGTAGAAGATTCCCCGGTCTCTCCTGAATCACCACCCAAAGCCGAAATATCTAAATTAAAGTTTTTGACATGCAATTACCCACGCACGCAAGGGGAAATCCAATCGGCGCGCTGTATCCGTGGGGTGGAAGGAGGCTGCAGAAGGTCGGGGGTACCCGAATCCTTCGAGCAAAGGGAAGGATTTTGGAACATATGCAGGGGGCACGGAGGGGGGAGGAACAAGTAAATTCTTCGAGACAGACCACAACCGCCACCTGTTTTTGATCACACACACACACACACACACGCACGCACAGCCACAAACGGCAAAGCTCCCGGTTTCCGTCGGGCCCGCGGCGTCCAGGTGAAGGGAAGGGAAGAAGTGTGGGGAGGAGGGTTGTTGATTTTCCGGAACTGGGATCCCCCCCTTCCCTGCTGCCCCCTAGTTATCCCTTAGCGGCTCGGGATGGTCAAGCTCGTGAGGAGTGAGAGCCGCGTCAACATCTATCTTGAGCTTAGTTTGAGGATTCGGGAGGCATTGCGAAGCCATGGTTACCGTGCCCAACTCCCATTGTCGCACCGGCCATAACCCAGTCCACACTATCGAGTTCCCTCGACCCCGACGCAACTCCATAACCCCAGCGTAATTAACCACTGAGTGTCCCCTCCGTCTGTACGCCCTACTGCAAGGGGGGCTCCTGCATTGCTCTCCCCCCGTCTTTACATCCAAGTCGTCATGAGCCTCCTTGGCGCGATCCGGGATAAACAGGTCCATGCACCGCTGAAGGATCCGGAATGCACGCGGTTCTCCCGCAAGTTTGGTACCGAACCAGAACAAGACTTCGTGGTCGTGCCCACGGCCTTTGTTGCGCTAAAGCGAGTAGGAGCGCGGCGTGGACAACATTCTGAAAAGGGGAACCGGCTACTCTTGGCTCTGAGTCGACGGTATTCTTGCAACGTAGATGCAGTGTGTGGATGGTTATTTATTTCGCAAAGCGGCAAGACAAGGCCAGTCTGACTACTCGACTAAAAGGGGCAACTTGGGCCGCTGCTAGCGTATAGTTTGGGGGGGGATATCCGTGGACACAAGTTCGAGCTTTGCGCTGAGCTGAGATGAAAAGGGATATATTAGACACACGTAACGGATAAGAATGGGCGCGAACCTCACTGAATCTAAGAACAGCTGCCGAGAGTCTAACTCGAATGGCCGAGAAGGCGAGGCAAATACTTTGTGTAATAGGGGTATCCTGGCGGCTGGGTGGTGAGGAAGCACGGCGCGTCATCGGGCAAGGGCCGTGTGACCTGTGATGCAATCAATGGCTTTCGAGGGTGGCTCCGAGGACCGGCTCACCGTGAACAACCGCTACACCTCGGTTTACAGAGTCCGCCGACAGGATCCGGAGTTGAGAGAGAGGAGGAACCAAGGCGTGGTGTGTTTGCAACAACCGATCGTCCGTATCCAGCCCCACCCCAGTTCAATCTATGTGTCCCTCGAAAGGGATAGGGCATGTTCTTTGGGCCACCGTCATGTAAGAGACGATCAAGCTGTTACTTGCGACGTCCTAATTTGTTCGAAATTCAACACGAGCGCGGGCTGACGAGAGTACAGTCAGCGGGGGCGGGGCACCGCCGGGGAAACCCAAACCGGCCCCTTTTTCTGTGCCATAAGGCTGAGCCCCGGATTTCCTTCCGCATCCGATCTCCCGGCCTTGCATTGCCGGCGGCTGAGGCGAAATACTAGTGTAGGAGAGTGGCTTGCTTCTCGATTTCATCCTCCAGATCCACAGTCCGGGAGACCAGGTTGTGTTGTACGGATGTCGGAGAGGGATGTAACATGACACAGGACAAAAAAGCCAGTGGAGTGCTGACCAACGTGACTTACGTGGCTTGCGCCCGGGAAGATCACTCTCACCTCCACGGTTTTTTGTTTAATCGCAGGTCCCTTCCTTAGTGCATACACCATACAAGGCGATTTTGGTATATGGCGGTTTGGAATAGGGTGTAAGTTGCGATGCCGGGCCTCCGGGCCGGGGGAGGCCACGCCACAGCCGGCGACCTCGGATTCGATGGCCGTGATGCAGTCAAACCGAGGACATGACGGTTACAAAGCACCGCCTTGTGATTTGTTGGTAATGTGGGGGTAAAGGGGGTTTTTGGGGGGTTCCATCTCTGATTCACTTGTGAACGAAGTTTCAAATTTGCGGCTTTCCATCCGGGCTGCGGCAAGAAGGGGCGCGGCTTGTTCCATGTCCCCCCAGGCGACGGATGCCGCCGAAAGAGCTTCAGAAACTCTGTTTGACATGTTGGTTGCGCCACGCTTGCCCATGACCCGCAGTAGGGGTCTGTCATCTGGATGTGTCTCGATCGGAGATGGGCTTGGCATTTGTCCCGTCCCGTCCCAACATGAAGGAGAAACATGAGTGGATGTTGTACGAAAATGAACGCATGTGGCTGCCAAGCCAAGCCGCGTGAGCCAGACCTGTCGGTTGGGAACAACTAACGAACCAACTGCTCGTTGCAGCATCGAGATTGTCGGCCATACGGCAGCTGGATTGGTCCTGGAGCTCCGACGAGGGCCCGAAAATGCACGAATGGTGGAACTTGGGCAAAAATTGTTGGTGGTTCTCAGAAATTTGGGGCTGTGAGTGGCAGACTCTCTCGAATGTTGGCGGGTTCGTGGAAACGAGAGAAAAAGAAAGATGGCATGCCGTTGCAACGTCGCATGCCCGGTGCTGTCCTCCTGCCCTACAAGGCTGTATGCAGGATTCGTGTGAATAAGCTTCTGACGTCGGTATGGCAGATCAGAGGACGAACAAGCCAGAGAAGCCCAATTATATGAATATCACACGATGGCTGCACGGTTCTCGCTGGATACCCCAGGTGCTTGCAGCGCATACGGGAGGAAGCCTCTCGCAGGAGCTGAACAGTCGCGACTGTGGAAGAAATTGCGTTCGCCTTACCGATCGAGGGGCGGCTTGGAGGGCTGTAACCCGCCGTGGAGAGAAGACGGAGATCGTGTAACGGCAACAGGATGGCTCAGGGTGATATTCTGCCTTAGGGTTCCTCCCATTGGCGAGGCGAAACGAAACATGCCGTCATGCTCAAGCCGTTGCGCCACGGATCTTCCAAGAGAAGCTGCTGCGTTACCATCGCAGTCGGTGCGGGGTGTTGGCCCCGCGAGCCCCGCTCCCACGACTGTGTATGCAAGCACTCTGCAGATGGATGTAACTTGGACAAGGACTTTCGTGGCCAGCGCGGAGAGTCGGTGAAGCTAACAGGCGCAGCCATGGCGGCAGTGAGCGAATAACAATTAGCGTAGTTAGCCGGCAGGTGCCCGGGTTCCGCCTTGCTTGTCCCTGATACGAGTGGCCGCGTGGGAGGAGTGAGCCAAGGAGGGGGGAACGTCATGCTCGGCTGGTTCGAGACTGGGTAACTGGGGGAGTTGTTGATTCTCGAAAGTGGGCTTGTGTTTGTCAGTTGATGCACCCTACATGCAACTGTGCGGCGTCGACAGTGCGGAGAAGAACAAGAGGCAGTTCTACCACGATTATTCTGCACCATCGGACCGAAGGGGGAACAGGCGATCGTTAGCGTGTAATCTGACGAGAGAGCTAGTGAGTGCTTGCTTGTTAGAAGAATAACTGCACAGTACTGTGTAGACGTCAGCGACTACCCTCGAGTTACCACGTCGGAGGGCGAGGGGAGGGATCGGCTGCGGGTTTAGTCTTCCGAGGGGCCTTTGACCTTTTCTGTAGGCCACATGACAAACTGGATACATTCATACATCGATTGCCCAAAAGTTGCTGGTGAGCTGAAAAGGTAACTCGATACACGTGAAAAAGGCGCCAGCGCAGAAGCGGACTGCGCTTGTCGGATTACCAACTGAGACATGTGAAATGTAAAAAAAAGAAACAGACATGGAACTAAAAAATTCTGATAGCTCCGCCGAGTCCATTTAAAGATTCAGCTGTTCTGTTTTTTTGTGGTTGGTTCAGTGGTTTCTCTGCGCGCGGGGCCCAGTTCGCGGCCGAGAACTAGGCTGGTGGCGTCCGGGCCCGAGATCAGTTCGGCACCGGGAAACCCCAAATTCGATCTCCGCGAAGAGACCCGCCGTTTCTCAGGCCAGGCAATCGCGGCCGTGATCGGATCCAATCGGAAGAATTTCAGTCCCACGCCATGCCCATTCTGGGCAGTCTACGATTGGCCCCCACAGCACGCTTACCTTGGCGGCGGGATTTTCGGAAGCCACGACCCCTGCTTGCCGTTCTTGCACCTTCCCAGACGAGTTCGTTGCTTGAACTGTAGCGTGGCTCAAAGCGTCGGCGTTGATGGGTACATGGGGTGTCTCGGCGTGTGCGTGTGTGTGTGTGTGTGTTCGCAAGGTCCACCGCTTCAGCCGGGGTAGTCACGCAGTCATCTCACCGATATGCAATTTCATGATGCTGGGTTGTTCGTTGTTCTTGGAAGCGTCGCCGAGCTGCCCTGATACGCGCGCTTGATTCGACTGTTGGTGTTGTCAAAGACTAGCGCCATGCGTCAATATGCGCGTTTGGCGTCGAGGTGGTGCGTGATCCAGCTGCAAAGGGATTCAAATCCGGATCGGCGTGACTGTCATTGGGCTAGTTAGCCGCCGCGATGCAGCCACCATCTGGTGCATGAGACACCAGTGCGCCGTCTCTAATTTCTGCATGTGCCATGCGGGAGGTCAGAGGGTGGGTGAGAAGTGACCCTGAGGGGCAGAGACGAGAAAGGGGTTGGGATCCGATGAGGGGATGAGTGGCGGTTTGTCCTGTCTCCCGTTCTCTCCTGAGCGCCGAGCTCAAGGCGTCGAGTGTTTCGACATTGGCCGTCTTCATCATCTAGCACAGCCATCGAATCGGCGGCGTAGGGTCAAATTCTGAGACAAATTTCCACAACGCCGTGCCGCCATGATCCCAAGTTTTGGGTTCTCACAAGCAATCCCATGCCGCTAGAGAGTCCGATTTCTAAGATCGGCTTCCGATATGGGGTGATGGTGCAGCGGTTCAGCGAGATTGCCATCAGGCAGCAGAATAAAATGGCCGCTAAACCTAAAGGGACGTGGCGCCCTGGCACCAGCCCTGTCCTCAGGTGGGCTGAGGCTCTCGACTGGGCCGGCCCTAACGTTATCCAAGACCATGGTTCAAGCCACACCCTTTCAACCCAAATTTTCTGGACGCCCCGGTTTTGTGCCTCGAAATCCGGTATTGTATTTTACCCGGCCGGTGGTGAAAACCTTTCCGAGCGGTGTCGGCATATTTTGATGAGAGGTTTTGCTAATGGATGGGCCTTGGTTGTACATAGCCGAGAGCGAAAGAGAAAAACTCCTCCCCCACCCTTTGAAGCTGTGGCTTTCGTCCCTGCTCTGGTAAGGCTGCGAACTTCGTTTGAAAACGCTAGCGCGGATGTCTTGTATCCGGGAGCACGGTTGGGGGGCCGTAGTGCAACGTCGGGGTCCCATGGCGATGGTCAGTGGCTTGCTGTCCGCCGATGAACGGCGGGGTCCTTGTGCTTGGCCTTGGCCCACTGCGTATTCCCGCCGACTCGAGCATTGGACGCTTCTCACAAGAAATGCACATACCGGGATGGCGCTTTTTGTGTGTAAATGATAAGAAACCACCCGTGCGGTTATTACCCAATCAGTTCATCTCTGCATCGGACTGGCATTGCTGCCCAGCGAGCCCTGACTCGCCTGCTAGTCAGATTGATTTGGCGGCGTTGCATTGGGGTTGAAACATCACTCTGCTATACTAGTATCCTAGTATAGGTAGTTTGGTAATTATGGAGTTGGCGCGCTCGAATTATTTACTTAAACAGGCTCTCAACAAGGAGGGAACGGCACGGAAACCGGCACGGCTTTGAATCGCCCACACTGCATTCGCCTTTTGTAACTAGTCCCGCTAGAGTTGAGTATGGAGATGCTCATTTTTCCCCTTCAGATAACCGTCTTGCCTTCCCTTTGCTCATCTTGTTAGCATGAGTCCAATTCAACCCCACAGCATTCGGCTTGGTTTCAACGGAACACAGATGGCGCTCTCCCCCGTCCCGAGGGCTGCGGTACCCACGTGCCCAGAGGTGGCCCCCATGATGCACACACGTCGAGTTAACCCGGTCCCGGGAGGAGCAATAAACGGCGATGACAAGCGCCGGCGCTACGGGAGCATGTCAGACGGACCTCGCCCTGTCATTGGTAGGGAGGGGATCTTTTTTTTGGGGAGCCCTTGTGGACTCAGCACTGAATAATGCAATAACTCCATCAGAATCTCAAATACTTCCAAGTTAGGCAGGAGAAGCGTTTGTTTTTGCCCTGTCTGCGCTGGTGGAAACGACCGTGGAGATCTGCGACCAGCCAGGGGGCCCCGGACCGAGCTCCGTCTCCAATTCGACTTAACGACTGGGTTTCTTCACAGTTACGTACATCCATCTGTCCCATCGTGTGCTGTGGGTTGTTTCGAGGCTTCTTCGACATGGCAATACATTGGTTCGATTAACGTGGAACGGAATGCGATGTCTCAGGCCCTCATTCAAGGGGCCATTTTCCGACGGGAGTCCAGTAACGGCGGTGCCAAAAAGTCAGGTGCCGCGCGGGGGCAGATTTTGGCACGCTGTGCCGGACCCTGACAGACTCCTCGGGGCTTCCAGAACAAGCAAAGAAAACGCTGACGACGACGCGACACAACACCAAGGGCCCAGCGTCGCAAGGGGTTGTTTCTTGGCACTAAACTCAATTTGGCCCTCGAGGTAACGCAAGGTGCCGTCACTCAGGCGACTTTTCGTGCTGTTCGTGTCTGGGCGTCGTGCTGGGATTCGGGTTGGCAGCGTCGCTTGGGCGTCTCATCAATCATCATAGCGCGCCAAAACCACCCCCCCCCGGAAATAAAAGCCTTGTGAAAAGTGGTGGCCTAGCTGCGCCTACCTACCCACCACCTAGCTGCCCGGCAAAGAGAGGCTTGCGGGCCTCATTTGTTAGGTCCGGCGCCTCGCGGAACCGCCCAACAAGATGGAAGCTTTGCCGAGCTTGGCTTACCGCGCTGGCCCGTGCGTTTTCTTTTCCTGAGGCATTGATTTGCGGGGGTTTTCCGATAAGATAACGACATAACAGCTGAATGAAGCAATGGAGTTAAGCGGGCAAGACTACCCCGACCCGACAACAGGGTTCAGCATCCTTCCACCGCGTCAATCTGGCGGCTTCATCTCTCCACAACCCGTCACCTCGATTGTTTGCCTTCCCAGGTTCCGCTCCCGCAGTTGCGCCCATGCTCTTGCCCGCTTTGGGTGAAAAGTCACCAATCCTAGTTTTTATTCACGCCTCAATGGGATTTCTCACTTGTAGCAAAGTTTACGACGTCAAAAGCATCAATGATTTTGCACTTACACAGTACAGCCAGCTATCATACAGTCAGTCATACAGTCACTTCGTGTGTTCACCAAAACCTGAAAGTTTCCGAGGGTTCTTTCGACCGCCCTCCCAACCCCCCCTAACTTATTAAGTGACCCCGCTATCGTCTGATCCTGCCCCGTTATGCGGTTGCCCCCAAAGGTTCGCACTTGTCGGTTTGCCCCCTGTTCGAAGAAGTCCTGCAGGTTTCCGCGCAGTCGGGAGAGGGTGTCACCTTGGGAAACCAGCAAGAAGCAACGTGGTGAACAAACGCCAGCCGCGCAGGAGCAACAAACAGCCGCGATAAGTCGGCTACTCCTGCTGACAGGTCAACACTGCGCGTCTATCTGGAAACGCCCATCATGGCTTGCGGCAAACCTTCGGAAGCGTGAGCCGCGCTCTGCGTGGCATGCGTGGGACACAGGGGGGCATGGGTAGGTTGAAAGTGGCACCCAAAGGCTCCTTACCGCTTCTGCCCACACGCCTGTTCCGGGTCCCTGTTCGGCCACGGCACATTTGACTTCACCAGTTCCCAAGCACAGCGAGCGGCGCAGCTGTCCACAAGTCCACAGGCGAGCGTGAGAAATGCTGTAGCCTAAGAGCAGCCACGGTCGTTTCGCCCCCGCCGCTCCGCCGGCCTCGCTCATGTTCCTCCTCCTGCTGCTGCTCAGGACAGCATCCAATCAGCCAACACGGTCCTGCTTCACGAGAAAAGTGACATCCCGAGAGTCGAAAGGGAGACACCCCTGGTGGGTACGCAGCGGGTTTCTACACAGTGGTACATACCTCTGCACCGTTGCTTCTGTTGCGCGACGGCTTTCCACATACCTCGATCGATATCCAAGAAACAACAAGCTGCCGTCTGCGGAGTAACGCTGTTTCTCCATGGCCAACCTCACACTGTTAATTGTCCCCGGTAAGGCCGTTGATCGGGCCCAAACCATCCATGGGGGTGGGTGTCCTGTTGGCGAACGGGTCGGGAGGGAGGCGTGGGACTCCCCCTTGTGGGTGGCCATGGACACCCCCCTCCCCCCCGTTACAATGCCCAGTCCAAGACCCTGGTTGGTACATCCCTGTCGCGGGCCCTGCTCCTCTTGTTGTCCACTTACATGCATGTTCCTTGCCTACCATATCACTCTAAATCACCCCCCAGCTAACGGTGCTCTTGCCCTGACCAGGTCCCCTCCCCCATGCACCCACGGCACCACCATGATGTGGGGATGTACTGCCCTGCCTCTCTCAACTTATAAGCTTAGCTCGTCCGGGCTTCTCCACGACCTTTGAGGCTGAGGTGCATTTGACATTCAAGCTACCCCAAAGATAGATCTACGGCGTCGTGGAAATCTTGCTACCTGGTCGCCGCCTCAACACGGCCCATCGCCTACCTTTCTTCGCTTCATATAAGCCGTCGCGCGCCTTCGTCAACGACATCACCGACATAACTTAAGACAGTCAGCGTATGTACCTATTCGTTCAAGTCTTCCCAGTCCATCATCACCCACACGAACCACCCCTTTCGAGGAAGAAGATGGACCCGACATACTCAAGCCAAGGCTTCGACGACACTTACTCACACACACCCAGATCGAGAGCCGGTAGTGGAGTATCCACCACAGAAGGGCTATTACAGAACCTCCATCTTGCCGAGTCGACATCATTCGAGACCGGGTCTTATACCACCAGCAGACCTTCGTCCTCCCGGGGGTTAGCCTCACCCGCCTACTTAAGTCCGAGCCTGTCCCACTCGCCGGGCTACCTGTCCACTCCCCTCACTCAACACCAAACACCCTTTCCACCTTTGTCATCCGAAGCGGTGGCCTCGGACGCCGAGTGGTTCGAATCGGAGCAGTCACAATCCCAAGGCGCACCGATCCTCAGGTTACAACCTGCACACGACCAGATCGGGGCATCAGCATCATCGCCTCCGCTGCCCTCTATCGAGACAGAAGCTATGAGGTACGAACCTCACGCTCGGTCCTCGGGCCACGGGAACCACCCTTCTCTCGACACCTGACTGACCTCTGGAACAGTACCGTTGCCGTTTCGTACCGACCCGACATTCACCATGGGCGCACGATCATCATTTACCTGGCCTTGGTATGCCGCCGCACTTCCGCCACCCCTTGGGACAGGCTCCGTGCTTACTAGTGACAGTGATGGAATCTAACAACGGGCTCATGCCCCCCCATGATCTCGGCCCTTACGGTTCAGACGCCAGTCTCACCCCGCCAAGTGGATCACGATCGGTCACAGCAAGCCCCCCTCGGACGAACCTCACCGCGGAGCAAAGGGAACTAAAACGGCAACGAGACCAAGCAAGGCACAACTCCAAGATGCAGGTCCGCGGCAGGAGGACGGACAGCGGTTCTTCAGTCTACTCGCCGCCCGTAACCCTATCCGACATGACAACTGGCGCATCGAGCATGCCCGTGTACACGACCGCACCGTCGCAAATCTCCCTCCTCGCCGAACCATCAGCACCGCATTACTTGCCGCCTTTCTCGCCACCGCTCCAGGACCAGAACCAGGCGGCCATGTTCACAAACTCGTACCCTCCGCAATCGTATATGCCCGATTACTCGTACCCACCATCGACGGGCCCAAGCTTGCCGTCCCACTATGGGTATGTTTCCACCCCTTCGGGGTTCAAGGGGATTCCAAAGCGCTAACCTCGACCAAAGCAGTAGGCCACTCGTTACAGGACCCAAGCCTCGGGATGTACCCAGTTCCACCCATTATCCCGCCAGGTCCCCAGGACGCGAGCGGGCAAGTCAGAGTGGTGCACAGCCGGCCGAAGCCGCAGTGCTGGGAGCACGGCTGCAACGGGCGACAGTTCTCGACCTTTAGCAACCTCCTCCGGCACCAACGGGAAAAGTCGGGACAGGCGGCGAAGGCGACATGTCCGAACTGCGGAGCCGAATTCACCAGGACGACGGCCAGGAACGGGCACCTACTCCACGACAAGTGCAAAAAGAAGGGCTCCAGCTAAACGGTGGTGGACGGCGGAACTCTACGCTGCGACTACTATTCAACATCTCCCTTCCTTCGATTCGAGGCGACTCCTGGGCCGACTCCGACTCCGACTACGACGATCCACTTCAACGACATTTTTTTTCTCCTTTCCTCCTCTTGCCGGACAATGTACAAATTTCAGCACGGAACCCTTTTTTTTAAATGCCGCAAGGCTGCCTTTCATTTTTGGGGAAGTTGTATTTATTTTGCTTGGGGCTCTGTTCCTAGACTTGGGGAGGTGGATCACATTGGGTTTTTTACATCATGGAAGGAATGGGAAATACCAGGCACATATTGGGCGAAAATTGCCATTCGTTTTATTTCTTTCGCTTATACCATAGCGTCACGACTGGGCATCGGGGAACTGGCTGGGATAAAGTCTTGCTACTGCTAGTATATTATCTATTGATGCCTCAAAGGCGAGATACCTTTTTGACTCACGTAGCGGCCCTTTCCTGCTCAGTCCCAGTGTACAGTAAGGTATCCAACCATCCACAGACTATCGAACTGAACATCCAAGCTGAACCCCACATCCTGCCCTTCCGAATTCCCCGAGGTAGCCCGGTCGCCTGCAAGATCTAATCAGCTAAGCTTTACTCCTTCCAAGCGAGATCTGGGGGATTCGAATGCGGAAGGAGCAAGTTTGAGTCGCTTTCCGTTCTCTCTCACGCCTAAACCCCACACGGATCTCGGTTTCCCGAACGCCATCCCTCCCTCCCGCTCTGATAATGGTGGCAAAATCCATATTACTAGAAGGTAAGGTAGGAAGCAAGTAGGATCCCAGATCTCCCTCACCGAGGATCATTTGGACTCAACGAAAAGCATCACGAGTTTCTCAACCCCCGGTTTCATGGCACATCCTTGGGGACCGACCACCGACTGTCTTGGCCCTCGCCATGGAGATCCTTCCAAACGGCTGCAGATAGCCAATCTCAGGAAAACGGGTCAATCCTACCGGCAAACAGGCCAAGTGGCTACTCACGGGCGTTGGAAACAGAAGCAAACCCGCCCAATCGCTGACCTCTCTCTGCCCACAGCCATCTGGGCCTGCGCATCGAAGGATGTTCACTGGTCGACGGCCCAACACGGCGCTGCACTCATCGATGACTGACTGGCCATTCACGCCACTCCCACTTACACCGCAGATGCATCGCGTCTGCAAAGTGTCTGAGCTTCAGGTGGGTGAAGCCTTGCTCCTCGGGCGACCATTGGAGTATCTGGACCTATACGGAGCTTGCGTCTAGAAGCCTGGCGCTTATGGCGCAGCTCCGGCCAACGAGGGCGGCCTTCACAAATTACACGCATCAACAACAACCACACACAGTCCTCTCCCGTTTGTGGTGAACTCAGCGCGCCTCCTATTGGTTTGGTCGAGATTCCCCAGCCGACACGGCGTACACTCACTTGTCCTCAGTGTGAACCGTCGCAAGGTGCTCCTTGATACAAGCCGCCCTGCTATCACGAGATACAATATGCCACCTCGAATCCTACGCAAAGTTCCCTTCGCGAATGTGGGATGGCCCTGTCGGAAACTCGGCCCCCGAAAATACAAACTGGCTAGCTCTCGTTGAGTGTGCTCCCCGGCTAGTGAACATCACCACACAGCCTGCCGGCAACCGGAAGGTCGCAAATAGCCCGACCTGGGCAGTATGGCACCGCCCATCTCACTGCGGCGTGCGTGATATTCAGGTTGTCAAGCCCAAACCGGGCATTCGCCCATGTTAGCAGCTGGGAACTTCCATGCCGGGCCCCGACGACGTCACTCCCGCCCCACGCCATCACACGGTCTGGAAACCACCCCCCCGAGCCCCCCTCCTCACCGACTATTTCGAGCGAGGTGGCAGAGCGCAAACCAAGTCATGTGGAAGGATACACCTGGATGTCCGTGGCGATCCGGGGCCGCGGGGACAGCATAGCCGAGGGCCCTGTCATGGTCGAATGTGGTTAAACTTTGACAACAAGACTGTTGACAACGCCTTACCAAGTGAGGCTCATAGAGGAGCCGCACGGTTGGGGTAGGTCGCATTCACCAATGACGATGGAGAGAATGCTGTTGACTGAAATCCGCCTCCCAATCGTCGGAAAATTAAGTTTCAAACCATGCGCTTTCATTTCACGGCTTCGAGCTGCCGCAACGTTGGCCGTGCGGGCGACACAGCCTCGCTGGAAATAGCAAAGTCTTGGCATGGATGGACCCTTGACCTGGAGATATCGACCCACATTATTGTCTCCTCGCTACAGAAAACCAGCCACTCCACTGGACATTTTAGCTGTCATCGTACGGTTTGGGTGTAGAATGACTATGTCAACCCCCTGGAAGCCAAACGGGAACCAGCAGCCGAACCCGAGTTGCTGGGCCGGTGCCGCGTCGGTGAATTCACGTTCAAAACACGGGGCCGGGGTTGTTGTAGTGTAAGTCTTCGGCGATGGCAACGCTCAAGCACTGCTGAGGATGATTAGATCAGCGAATCACGCCATCGACAGCTTTCCTGTCGAGTTGCAAACGTCGTCCCAAGCAGTCCCCAGCTTCTTCAAGTTGTTTGTCTTCGGGGAGACTCGGGGATCGCCCGGAGGGCATCCCGCCGGGCCGCAACGGCTTGCCCCAACAACGATAGGGTTTACCGATGTCACTCGTCTGGCGCCCTCGCACGACAACCACGACGGCAGACCTCGACTTAGATTGCTGCTTGCGTAGCCACGGTGTAATCTCCGCTTCAACGTGAGTTGATTCACGTCGGGCACCAATGTCTCTCGCCAACGCCGAACCCCGTTCCCCCTGCCTCGATAAAAGGGTACCGGCGAAACTGTTCAGCCGTTTTTCCAGGGCGGGCGTTGCGGTTGGCTCATTGACACGCGGCTGGAGCCACCCCTCTCCGGGTTGGTTACTTAGTCAATCGAATCACAACTCCCACGGACTTGGATCGGTGCACCCATGCAAGGGGTCGATTCTTCTGGTGCACGGCCCAGCTGCAAAAGGAACCAGGGCGGGGTTCATTGATCGCCGACCAAAAATGAGCTTCTGATTGGGAAGGGGAACGAGGTGCTGCACGGTTCCAAACCTCCCTGGCAGCCAAGTGCCCGAAATACAAGCCCGAGTGTTCACATTTGGGTTTGCGACGGGGGAACGTGAGCGCCGTGCCGGCCCACCACAGCTTGGCAAACGTCAAACGATGCTTTTGGGAAGAATAGCGCGGAGTGATGACAACAGAAGCTCGGGTCGAGTGTGAGCTGCACAGTTGGTACGATTCGTTCATATCCCCCTCGAGCGTTTGCTGAAATATTTATCGGGGTTATGACGATAGACGGCAGCATGGCAGCGTTGTCGTGTTGCGAAGCGAGCATCTCGATAACATTGTATGTTATGATGCCCAGGCCGGACGCTACCGGCGGAGCTTCCGTTTCGGAGCCGGAGGACACTACCGGACGGGCCAGGTTCGGGCGGCGCAAGAGGACGCCATGCACGGTTCAAACATCCCTGGCATAGCCGAACCGACACGGAATAGCGGCCGGGACGCGTGGGGAAGGTCGGCAGCAATGGCAGCAGGCAGCAACAAATGTCCCCGGTCCGGCCTGCGCAGCCACGCGCCGTCTCTATCCGAAACGGGACGACGACGAAACCTCACCGCAACAGCACCAGCGGGACACTCATCAGATGCACAGCCTCGATTCACGCGCTCCTCCACTGCGACGACGCGGGATGAGGCAGCGGCGGCGGCCATGCCATGCCATGCATGCCACGGTCAAAGGCGGCCAAAGTGGGGGGCTTCCCTCTTGAAACAAGACACGGCAGAGCGGCCACTCGAAACAAGGGTTTGTTGACGAGCGGGAGGAAGCGAGTCTTCTGGAAGGTCCGTGCCGCAAGCGGACATCAAGCCTCAATTTACAGAGAGAGACCGGCTGAGCAACGATTGGCGAGACGTCACGGCTAACTTGACTGCGGCGTACCGGGAGAAACGCTCATGCTACACTTCCATGGGGTTGGTTACTCTCGCTCATGCCGAGCTGTGCCGCAACACCACCACCGTGGGTTCCCTTCGCTGTGCCTTATGCCATTAACTATGTACGTTAACAAACAGGGAAAGGAGGAAGCCAAACCACAAGTCAGGGTTGATGGGCTATCGGGTGGTCGGGAAATTCTATGTGTCCGAAAGACAAATCTAGGCGATTCCGACTGAAGCAGACAAGGGAATCCATAACACTTTTTTAACGCCGATGCTTGGCGCGGCAGGCCCTTCCATGCGTGCTCTGGTAAAACCCACCGTTAGCAAGACACTATGTTCTTGGTATAGCTAACAGGACTGGGGTGACACGGACGATATCAATCACTTATCCATGGTCATAATGGCCTGATTGCACCGCCAAGGTTGGGGTGTTGGGGGGGGTCAGACGTTATGGGAGTGCACGGTTGCTCCGGGCTGCCAGTTTTTGAAGTTTCCCACTTGCTAACTATGTAATTACACTCGCTAATTAATATATGAGTTGTCGCATTCGGGTGCTTTCAAGGCGGCTCAGGGCGGGAATGCCGCCGTGCTAGCTCGCAACGATTGTACGTCGTTGCGTCCGCCCAGGCATGAACTAACCAGTGAGCATGTCGGCTTTTGCCAAACACCGAAGATCGGCCGTTTTAGCGGCATGGCGATCGATGATTCGGAGGCAAGGGTTCGCAGCAGCGACCGGTTTACTGCATCTGGTAAGGCTGGAATCTCGACGTCCGCTGAAATGTCTCCGGGTGCCGGGGATGTCCGGGGCTTGCCGCCTGCCGGGACCGGGGGGTGCTCAGAGTGCTCTGGAACTTTTAGCGGGAATTGAACCCGGGAATAAGAGCCAAATAGGTAGCGGAGCTGTTGCTTTGACGAACTACGACAGGGGGGGGGGGGGGCTGCAAAGTATGGACGAAGTACGAATAGGTGAATACTCTATTTTGTATGGAGAGAGCCTTGGGAGACTGTGTGCTGTGGGCGCAATGGTTAACCTGTTCTTGATTGTGGGGCTCATCAAGCGGCGTTGCAAAGTTCCAACTCATGCCATGTGGTGGCCGCGTGTTGTTGGGGGCCGGGAATACCTTCATGGGCTCACTATTCAGGTTTGAATACGCGAATAATATGTTTATTCAATTATGCGATTAAACAATTCCCAGTGTGATATCCTGCATAAATGCACAAGCGGCGGAAGGATTTACGCTCATTTCCACGCGCCGCTAGCGCGCGTTACCGCGGCTAGGTGGATGCGTCTGTTTGATTCACGGTTCTTGGCACTTTGCAACCACCATCATTTCACTCTCAACAAGCGCGAATCGAATGCATCGAATGCAGGGTGCCATCCACACACAACCCTCCCATAGCTAACTGAAAGCGTTCGAGTTGGAGGGCTGGCCGCTCTTATTGGCCCCTTCCACGTGCATCTTCGATCCTGCGGGCGCCTAACCACATACCCATTGCAACGGAAGGCGCATCCCAGGGGGATGGATGTCACCTGCCCGCAGCTTCCATCGATCATCGAAGCACGCCACCTTGACCGACAGAAGGTGCGACCGAAGAACCCCTTCCCACATTGACACATCCATTCCGGGGCCACGAAATTATTGCGGGCACCCGACGCTGTCAGTCCACTACCTTAGGTACCTTACCTTCGCTTCCAACAAACAGCAACGGTGGACGACAACGTCACATCAGAGGATCCGGGAGATGCGCGTGCCCCCTCAGCACTCTAACAAAGAGACAAATCGCCAGTTACCCCTGGTCCCCCAGTCTTTTTTTTTTTCTCTTTTGCCGACGCGATCCTCCCGCCGCTGGCGTCACACAAACCCCTGCTGCTCTTTCCAGTCAAGCTTTGAGACTCCCAGTTACTAGGGAGGGGGAGGGGGTCCTCTTCCGCACGACTAAGGCGACCAGGGCCGCGCCACAGCCGACCAAACAAACAAAACGACATAGACAAGCGAGCCTAAGCGACCGGCACACCACCATACCACCACGTGCGCTCTCCCGTACTGAGAGTAGTGGCTACCTGGAAGCCGTATTCGGAGGCCCGCCATCGGGGGTGGAAGGAAGGTCGCCATCTGGGCCGCCGCTCCAGCCGCCCGCCCTTGACGCTGGTGCTTGCAGCTTGCCAGCAAGATTTGCCGGGTCGCGGCCTGTCTGTGCGACCCGGTTCACTCAGTGCCCGTGAGCCGGATAGTTACTGGCCGGTTTGCTAGATCTGCCTGGCCTAATCTTTTGGCCTGTAGAAATTCCGGTTGGGGAAGTGGCTGTTTCCAGGTTGCCATTGGTAGTAACTCGGTATTGATCGAGCTGTTCGAGTTGGGCGGTTGGTGACCATCACGACGCTCGGCAGCCTTGCCTTCCTCAGCAGGCGCCCAGCGCGGCTCAGAGAAACCGCTCTTGAGGATTAGCGGTTTGGTGGAGAGTGTCTAGGGGTAGCACAACATGCCGGCCGCTGTGGCATCCCAATGGCGGGACCGCCAACGGAGGGTGTTCCAGTCCGTCTTCCAGACGGATGTTACTCAACCCACGCCTCAGTCAGCTCGAAGTACCCTTCTCCCAGGGCCCGAGCAGCCGTCTGCCGTATCCGCAGCGCCCTTTCTCGGCCAACAACAAACCTACCCGTCACAGAGTCATGGGCACCCCCTAGCAGACCAGCACTCCCTCCGGCGAAGTACCCCTGAGCCGCCCCTCCAGACAACACCCGCACAGCCACTGTTCCCCCCCGCGGCAGAAACAGACGACCAGGCTGCCTATGATCGCGCCTGGCACGTCGTAACCGCCCACATTGCCCTCCCCTCGTCCGCCACCGCTGACGATACGTTTGGTACTACCACCACCACTTCCACCCTTGCCGCAGAGCCGCAGCAGCAGCAACAGCAGCAGTCATGGCCCAGCAGTAGGAGACGAGGCCGCGGTCGAGATGCTTCTGCCGCACCGTCAGGCCCAGTCTCAGGCCCTGCCCCTGACGGTGACTTCTATGAGGCCTTCGCTGCCCTCGCCAACGCCCGCTCGCTGCTGCCCGGCGCTACCCGCACCGGCGACGTCCTGGCTTGGCATGTTCGTCAGGTGCGCGCCCACTTTGCTCAACACGTGATCCCCCTTTTGGCCGGGTGCGTCGATGACGATGGTGGTGGTGGTGATGATGATAATGAAGAGGGGACTGAGAATATGGATAATCAAGGCCGTCGTTGGAAGGTGGCAGGGGGGAAGGGGAAGGGTGATTACTACGAGAGACACATGGTGATTGTTATGAGTAGTATTCGGACGCTTGAGGCTGCGCTGCGACTCTACTTTCATGGCCTCCATCAGTTGTTATCAGGGTTTGCCCGTCTCGCTGATGTTGCTCCAGAGGCGGCTAAGAACGCTGAGGTGCTGAATGCCCGCTTCCGGCGGGACTTGCATGCCCTTGTTGGCGGCTCCGTGTCGGCGGGACTGATACGTTCCGTAAAAGCGGTCTTGGTACGCCTTGCCGGGACGATTCTCGGTATCCCTTCTCCCAGTGAAGTTGGAGGAGGGTGGGCAACTCGACCCGCCCCGCCGGGGCCCGATGATCTGAAAGTACAGGCCGCGAGGGAGCGGTTAATCGAGTTGGTTCAGCAGCTGCAGAACGTAGGCCTGGCTGGCGAGCGGTTCCAGGTCCTCTTCGCCGAGATCATGGACACCATGATGTCCAGCTTTGTCAGCGGAGCTTATGCCGGCGTGTGGTCGGCACCAGACACACGCTCATTTTCGGCTACGATGGACTCAGTGTCACGAGGCGCGCCGCTGTCTACGGCATCACCGTGTATCATGTCGCTGAATGACTGGGTGGAGAACCATTTTGCGCGGCTGAGCTTCGAGGTGCTGGCCTGCGTCTCCAGTAACCCTCAAGGGCCACTGCCGGTGTCGCTAGCCGACCTCAAGATGTACCAGTCTCTCGCCCTTGGCCGTCTCGCTGCCCTGCGTATTCAGGAACTATTTGACATCGTCTTGGCATGGCCGGCGTCCCGCCCGGCGCTCGATGACTTGCGTGCCACCATCACCACCGCCGCTCGCCGGAAGCAGCTTACCAACAGCTTTTCGCGTGCGCTACAAACCCGCCTACTACACCCAGGCTGTAGCACGCTTGAGATCTTGCAGACGTACATCTCCATTATCCGCACGCTACATGCTCTCGACCCCAGCAAGGTGCTCCTCAGCCGGGTCGAGCCGGGCCTGCGGTTGTATCTGTGCCAGCGGGAGGACGCTGTCCGCGTCGTTGTTGCGGGGCTCCTTGCCAGCCCCGACGAGATGCGCGCCGCGAGGAAGGTCAAGGAGGTATGGAGGCAACAACGCGACGAAGCTGGTCAAGCCAAGAAACGTACAAGGGACCACGACGACTATTCTGATGTTCTCGCTACGCCGGGATCCTCCTCGGCCAGAACTCCCCAGCCCAGAGCAGCCCGCCGTGGTTTCGCCCCGCAAGCAGACAACACTACCCCGTCCTACACATCAGTGCCAACAACACCCGCTCGCCTACCACTCCCCAGAAAGTCCACAGAGCCCCTCCCCAAAAAGCTAGTCGAGCTCGCCCTCCTCCTCAACAACGACCCTTCCCAGGCACAGACCCGCCGTGGCGCCACTGCCGCCCCTTCTTCAGACGACGCGGACCTCGACTGGGCCGACCCGTCCTGGCTTCCCGATCCCATCGACGCCGGCGCGCACTACAAGCGCCCGAGGCGCAGCGAGGACGTTATCGGCACGCTCATCTCGGCTCTAGGCAGCGAGGATGCCTTCATAAAAGAGTTCTCTGCCGTGCTTGCCGAACGGCTGCTACTGCCGCCGGCGTCGTCGAATGGCAGCCCGACGCAGCAGCGGTTCGAGCAGGAGCTGAGGGTGCTGGAGCTGTTGAAGCGGCGGTTTGGCGAGGCCAGCTTGCAGGGCTGTGACGTGATGATTCGGGATGTGGTAGATTCGAGGAGGGTTGATGCCGGGATCTCGAAGCGGAGGGATAGAGTGGGCAGAGAGAGTCTACAGGGTATGGGGAGGATCGAGGAGGTGGAATTAGGGGCCAGAGACGGCATAGAATATCACGCGAGCATTCTGAGTAGGCTCTTTTGGCCTGGCCTAGAGAGGGAGCATTTCCTGCTCCCTGCTGTTGTGGTCCAGCAGCAGGAGCGGTATGAGGCCGGGTATGAGGAGCTCAAGTCGCGACGGAAGCTGACTTGGCTTAACCAGCTGGGCCAGGCGAGGGTCGAGATTGAGTTGGACGATCGCACGGTTACGGTGGATTGCAGCCCTGTAGAGGCGACCGTCGTGTACGCTTTTCAGGAGGGTGGTGATGGTGCTGGCGGCGCGGTGCAGAAGTCAGTTGAGGAGCTGTATGAGCAGCTGCAGTTGGACGAGGATCTCATCGCGGCCGCGCTGCAGTTCTGGGCTGGCAAGGGCGTCCTACGCCGCGTGCCGGGCGCCGCGAACAGCAACACTTACGTCGTCGCGGAGACGCTCAGCGAACCTGCCACTGGTGCTCCCGCATCAGATGCCGCAGCCGACCAGCCCATGGAGGAAGAACCGGCGGCGGCGGCTGCGGCGGCCAGCCAGGGCATGTCGGCCAAGGAGCGCGAGCGCCGCGATATGTACTGGCGCTACATCCAGGGCATGCTGACCAACGCCAGCACCAGCATGCCCCTGGCCCAGATGGCCATGATGATGAAGGTGCTGATAGCCGACGGGTTCCCCTGGAGCAACGAGGAGCTGCAGGACTTCTTGGGGGAGAAGGTCGCTGGGGGGGAGATGGAGGTTGTGGGCGGGAAGTACAGGCTTGTTAGGAAGTGAGTCTGGCCTTCTTTTCTCTTTCTCTTGCTGGGGAGGCGGATGGCGGGCGGGGTGGGTGTTGGGAGTTATTCTGAGGATGGTAGGGGGTGCAGAGTGGTGGTTGTTGAGATGGGATGTAGCATCTGCTGGATGGTGGTCAGTAGTGCTAGGAGCAGTGAGATGAGACCGGAGGCCAAGACAGCAATAGGAATTCGTGCGTTTCATGCTATGAATCTTGTGATAGTCAGTTCGAGATGCTCGGGAGCTGGGAGTGTCAACAACCCCCGTATTTACATTTCTAAACTTGCATCCTGGCCTTCCAGCCCTTTCTCTTTTAGCTGTGGGAACCGCCAACAAGTCCTTTCTTCACCTTCTAGCCGAACTTATCGTACTAGGGTTTTGGCTACGTAGACTGACCCTGTCGCTTTCCTCTTCAGCAGCCACTTTCCCCGTCCCTGGCCACCTCTGTCGCGCGCGGGACTTTTTATGGATTTCTCCGGTGGGTATCTCTCTTGCAGAGTTGATCACGAGAGCCGTCAGATAGGCCCCTTTCCATCGGCAGTCCGGGGGCTTTCACAGCGCACGTAGGTAGACAATCTGGTAAAATACTAGTAGGTTTACGGCCGAGCAGTTACAGTGAGATAGTTCCTTTTCTTGGGAACGAATTTTCTTCCTCTGTCTCTCTCAACAAGATAGCCTATGTGAAGACAAGACAAGTCCCACCGTGTCCATCAGAGTTTTGACTGGCTTCGGTTTTCGAATCCCATGATCTCGATGGTTTCGTCGAGTCATTCATCTTTTTTTTTCTTCCCCCGCGCTCACGGTCCTTCTGTTGGCGTCTCCGCTCCGCGCCCTAGGCGACGCTGTATGACGAGGACTCGGAGAACACCCGCTGACCTCGATTGACCTACTTTGAGAGCTCTCCGTCATGACATGACGTAATCTCGTCGCTGGTTAGGAAGACTTGAAGGAGGGGAAGGGGCGAAGACCGCAGAAATTTCGTTGTCCGATTAAATCGCGCAAAGAGGACCGAGCGGCGGGGGAGAGAACCAAGGAAGTGAAACGCTGTTGTTGCTGTTGTTATCTGACCGCCTTAGCGACGGGCCTCATGACCAGGTGTAGTTCCCGTTCGTTACCTTGGTGAGCGAGAGGGTCGTGTAATACTTGCCGTCGGGCTTGACGATCGAGGCCTAACTAGTTGTCTTAAGTTCAAGTCAAACTAGGCTAGGATGGAACACATGAGTCGGGTAGGCCTAAGCTAGTTGTGTAGTTTTGCGGTAGGGCTAATGAATGGGTGGCACGGACGATGTCGGGTTGACATCACCCGACTGGCAAGACGAGGTGGTGGTCGAGAAGAACGTGGTTGTGTTGATATTTGAGGATGGAAAACGGGGTTGTTTCATGGATGTTTATTAATAAATATTATTTCTAATTCAGAAGAACAGGCGTTGAGTCCCCTAATAACGGCACATTGTGAAGCGGCTGTGTAGTTGTTCCTCAGATGTCTGTTCTAATTAGTGTCCCGAGACTGATAATGACAAAACCTACGGAATTCAGACGGTCTGGACGACTCGGCACTCGGTTGCAAATTACAGAGGGAATGGTCGCGGCACCCACTAGGCCCTCAATCATGGACAGATGACCGAGGTAAACCTGCGTCTGGCCGTCGTGGAGATGACAATTCCAGAAACCGCAAAATGAGCCGAAAAGCGATACAGGCAATTACACTCAAGAGGTTTCCGGGGCGAGGACTATCATTGGATTCCCTGATTAGGCGAAATGGTCCGGGAGAAGCAACACCAGCAATTCTACCCACAAGGCCAGAACATATTGCCGGTACTTCGTAGTTAACGTTACCTGCATTATTTGAGCTTCTGGCCAACGTGCAGATGAATGGTGTTAGATCTTCAATCGGGAGATGATTTGATGCTCTCTCGCCCACCACCTCCACTTCCGGACCCGGCTCCGTTCGGGGGCGGTAGGTCACCGACGGACTCCACTTATTACCGCCGAATGCGCCGAAGACGGCAAGTCGACCGGATTCGTTGGTCCGTGTCCGCAAGGATGTTGAGGAAAGGTACATACATATTCGTACCTACTTCGTATGCCAGGAGGTCGGGTACAGCGCCTGAAACCCAACAAAACATGCTGGTCTATTATTATTCGACGGCGGTGCCATTTTTGAGCACTTGGAATGAGGCGCGCAAAAGGCCCCCGGCAGCAAACTGTGATCCGTTTTGTGACGCGACATGGGGCGCACTTGCGTCGGGCATGTCGTTTCTTGCGGGTCAATTTCGTCCAGTTGGCGCCCATGAGTGATGGAGGCCGGGAGAAATGGCCAGGCTGCAACCACCCTGCCACCCTGCCATCTCGAGTGCTGGATCACTGGCATCGGTTTTTTGTCTTTTCTTTTTTCTTTTTTTTTTCTCTTTGTTGGACACATCGTTTTATGCAAACCGAGACTAAAACAGGAGCGAGATCCCGGGCCCCGCGGCTGGCGGCCCGTTTTCGTTGGCGGAGATGCGCGACTTGCTGCGGGGTGCGGTGAGCGGGCGACGAGCAGTGGCGAAGACAACGAGGTGCGCGAGGAGGGCAGGGTCTGGCTGTGGGCTTGCTGGGGCACAAGGGACGCTACGGTGCGATATATAACTTTTCCCGAGACTATTTGCAGGTCCGTGATGGGTGGCAAGCGGTAGTGCGACGTCGGTAACGGTTCAAGGACCGAATCGGCCAGTATGGGTTTTCCGTTTGGCGCTCGGCAATCATGACCTTGCGTTGGGCCCCGAAGTTGGCGAGTCAGCCGCCAGCGTGGCCCATCATCGGCGTGCGTAATTACGCCCCGGTCAAAGTGTGCCATCCAACCTGCTGTGCTCGCCCAGGCTTGAGTGGTGAGAGTGGGTTCGTGGCTGGCGAGGGGTTGAGCAGCGAGCAGGCCGGCTGAGGGCGGGCCAGCTAAAACTTTGCGACACTTGGCTCCAGCAGGGCGATCTGTCTGAAATGGGCTTTGGTGGCAGCGTTGGTTCAACGCGGCGTCGGGCAGCCGGCCGAGCTAAATTAGTGAGCAAGGTGGAGGACAGTATGTTAAGTAGCTTCCCTTTCTACCTATACTGAACAGTCATGATCAAGTCATAACGACGTTGCGCTCTGGTCATTTGGTCTGGCAATGGCACCATGGCCCAAATAATGCCTGTTCGCCTACCAAGAGGGTTTGGCCCCACCGAGAAGTTTCCCTGGTCCGGTTGTTCTAGGCCCCGTTAAAGGCAGAGAGAGAGGGGTAACGTCGGGCGAGCATCAAACAAATCAGCGCAGCACAGCGCTCCATCGATGGCTCGGGCATCCGTGGTTACGGTTTGGGGATCTGATCCTCCCACCCAATTTTAGTTTTACTCTGGCGGGTGCCCTTTGCGTCCATTTCCGCTTCGTTCGAGCAGAGCCTCAAATGTTATTCGCAGAAAGTTGTCGTCGTCGTTATCGAAACCGTTTTGAGCTGAGCGCATCGCCGTTTGGGGGAAGGGGTGATCAGCGCGAGGATGCTGAGTGCTTTTGAGCGAATCAGAGTCTCTTCTGACAATGCGTGAGCCAATAAGTGCGTGGGCTTGAACAAGGCCCCTCCATGTTCTGTCTTGTGTAAGCCAAAAGCCATGCCTGGAATAGGGCGGTTTCAGAGGGTTGGGGTTGGCGGGGTTCGTCGATCGTCAGAAGGGAGAGGGTGTTGCTTCGAGCCTTGAAATTATCAGGGAGACACTGACAACCTAGAAGGAATATAATCACCCGACCTCGGCGAGGCGGATGAATGATTAGTTAGCCTTGGTCACGCCGGGTTGCGTTGGAAACGTTGATCAGCATCGAATAAGACGACAACAACGCCCCGCAGGCGTCGGCGTATTCGTTCGTCCACGAAGACAAACCGGTGTAATCCGCTTGCCGAACTTTGCTGATGGCCCCAGAGGAAGAGGGAACGGAAAGGCCGGAAGAGGAGGCGAAGATATACGCAGTTATCTCTTTTCCGAGTCGGGGCTTTGCACTCGATAAGAGGGGTGGTCGGGAATGAATTGAAAACTCCGTTTCGGGAGAGTTCCCTCCAGGTTCTGAATGCGTTTTTCCTCGGGAAAATTAGTTTGAGTCATGATAACCTAAAAGCGATCGGGACCTACCTAATAAGGCAGGCAGGGTAGTTGTTCTACTAGAAGTTGCCTCTGGCCCTCTTTCCGAGGAGTCGACTCGGGTGGACTGCTGGGCAAGGGAGCAGCGGGGGAGCCTGGGAGCGAACAGTGTGCACGAACGAGGAAGGCGCATTTGCCGGTCGCGGGTCTTTACACAAGGGATTTCGATAGGGTGTAATAATTGTCTTACTTTTTATTTTACTTGCCCTCGTTCAAGAATCGACAACCTCAGGTGAACAAACAGACGGAACACCCGGAAGACGCACACAAAACGGCTCAAAAGTCCGACGGCCTGCCGGTGCGTGGCGCCAGCCCAAATTATTACCTGTTTTTCCGTCAGCAGCCCACTTTCGCCGCCTGTGTCCCACGCTGTTCTGTTCCAAGCCGACACAGGCGCATGACGGATTACGAAATACCGGCTCCAGCAAAACACAGCATGATGGCGGGCGGGTTTTGGGTTGATGCGCCGCAGACACAAGGGAGCCCGCGGGCGTCGGAAGCAGGCATTCCTTACTCCTAGCCTATATATGGCGCTTGGCCCTCCATTCCAGACGTCGCAGCCACGGAACCGCCGTCCTTGGGGGCGCCACCTCACAGCATCAAGTCTGTATGGCTTGTAACTATGTAAGTACCAACAGGGTCCATTCTCGTCCGGTTGCTCTCAGACACACAAAGGCGCAAAAATACCCGTTGCATCCCGGCGCCTCTGGACGTTTCCCCTCCCGGCCAACGCACGGCGAGCGTCCAATCCGACAGGATGCAGCCCTTGACCAAGATTTGCAGGTTGGCAAGTGGCACGTTCCGGGCTGCAACCATGTAAGTCGCTGTGAAGCGAAGCCCAAGCAACCTGATGTACGAAGCAGCGAAGCAGGACTGGTCAGAAAAGTGTGAATGTGCGTGGGTGCAAACGCCCAAAGACGTCGGGCAACGGGCACTTAATCTGAGCGGCCCCAACATCTCCCTGCCTCTTTAGGTTTGATTGTGGTCCACAACGCAGGGAGACCCAGCTCATGTCGCTTGGGCATGATGATTGATGGCTGAAGGCGGACGGAGAAAGCGGAGTGAGCGATCGGGTAATGAATGATGGTTAGGGGTTTGCGCAAATACGGTAATTACCATATCTGCCCAGGCCTGGGCCCTTTCCCCCCCCCGCCTCTTCCCCCCACCATCAATCACATCACGTTGGCGTCGGGGTGTCGGCTGAGACGGGAGCAGCTGCCAGCATCTCGAGGGGAGTCTAGCAGGGGGCTCGGTGTTGAGTGCTTTGTTACCTGCGTGGACCTTACACAGTACACACGGACGCCGAGACGGTACAGGGTTGGCGAGTTATTGCATTCCGTTGCCTCCTCCTCTCGCCGCTTTTGTCTTGGCCCCTAAGCCGGTCTTCGTAAGATAGGTACATGAATGGCTTGGGACAGAGAGAGCGCCAGGTTACATATCCCGGTTAGTGACGCCGTCTTTGAGCTCTCACACATCCCACAAGCCGCACTCCTGCAACTCGCTCGTTCGTTGCATTCCCCACAAACGCCGCAGCCCACGGCCCAACAAAGTACCCCCCAGCAAGCGATGCGAGACCTGCGAGGATCCCTCTAGCTGTATTTACGGAGCGCTCCAAGTAATTCACATTAGTGGCTGCACTCTTTGGGTTGTTCTGTGGCCGGGAGTGAGCTGGCCTTTTCCCTGGGGGGACCTTGGTGACTTGTTGCGACTCAGTTGACCTGACCGTGAACAGGGCCTGCTTGTGAGGCGCCTTGCTTTGCTCCGCCCTGGCCCCCTCACCCCCATGCTTTCCCGGTTGCTCGATGATACAAAACCGACGCCATCCCCAGCCCGCCGTCTCTGCTCCTCCCTTCCCCTCCTTTCCGCTCCCTGACACTCTGCTCTCTCCAAACACCACCTCGTTGTCCTCGCCAAGCAACATCCCCTGCAGCACGCCCCGCCTCTCACGACTCGCCGTATCTTATCGCTCCGGTCGTTATTAGTTACCACCGTCCCCACGTCGACTGATCGAAACCCACGCTGAAGCACAAGAGTGCCGAGTGAAGCCGGCTGCAAGAGCCGCGAGAAAGGGCCGGGTTGAATGAGGACGCAAACGATCTTGGTCGTTTGGTCTTATTCCTAGCGTTATTTGAGCCGGTGGCACACAGGCTGCTTCAGCTCTGGCGGCAGATCGGGGAACTAACAACCCCTCGGCTGGGCGAGCGGATGCAACGGTTGCCACCCTGCCCCCAACGTCAAACCTCACCTCTCAGCAATACGAGCGCTCTCACTCTCAGGCTCTGTGCTCGACCGGCCACCTATTTCAGGATTTGTCGAGCCAGCCCCCGCCGTTGCGTCTAGGCTATGAAAAGTAACCTTCCACAAAGAAACCACTAGGCTGGGAAAGGACCGACCCGGACGTCGACTTGTTTGATCGGGACAATTCGCCTTGTCCATTCGAAGCCACAGGAAGAGGACAGAAAGACCACGAGCAAATACGATTGGGGGTAACAAGAGGAGGTGGAAGCAGAAGCAGCCGCAGAAGCAGCAGCAGCAACAACAAGCGCGGAGAGGCCGCAGCTCTGGCCGACCTTCACGAATTTGGGGACTGCTGCTGAAAGAGAGGAGAGGAGCTGAGGACGGCAGCAACTCACCACCACTCAAGTTTCTGCAGAGAGCCAAGGTGAATTAGTGTTCCAGGAGCCGAACATCGGTTTGGCGGGATCATTGGGTGCTTGCTGGGCGTTGATCGCCGTATTCACAGTGGATTGGTGGTGATTTCTGAGGGCGCGCGTGTTCATCGATCACTGAACTCAGCAGGTGGAAGAAAGAGATCGGATTCGGGCACTCGGAGAACAAACCTGAAATTCCAGACCCACGTCAGTCATACAGGAAGGCAGGCACCATGGCCGCCCTCGACCAGATGGACTACCTAATGCACCAGCCTGATACGGCAGGCTCGACCCAAGGCTCAACTTTTCACGGGCTGCCGCAGCATCAGGGGTACCCGTATTTCTGCAATCAGCAACAACACCACGGGCCAGGCCTTCCCCCTCCGCACTTTGCCCCGGGATTCCACCCTATGGCGCACCAACTGCCGCACTTGTCCCAGCTGTCACACACAGGGCACCCCTCCTCTGATGCGGGCCCTCAGAACCGAGCATTTCACTCGTCACCAGTGGGCGGAAACCACGGGCAGGAGCAGCAGCAGCACCAACAACAGCAGCAGCAGCACCAACAACAACAGCAGCAGCAGCAGCAGCAGCAGCAAACCCATCCGGGCCCGGGCCCTCAAACGCAGCCTCAGTCTCAGCCTCCTTCAGCTCAACCACAAACACAATCGCAATCACAGCCGCAGCAGCAACTTCCACCTATTCAACCACCTACCCTCCCCTACCCGCAACCCTATGCACCCTCACACTCACACTCACAATCCCACTCGCATCTCTCACATCACTCCTCCCACTACGACCCGGTGCACGCCGCCAGCGCTGCGTGGTTACAAAATCAGAACAACCAGCAGGATCGGTGGCTCACTCGGAATCGGTTGCTGGCTCAGCATACCTTTTTTGTGAACCAATTCGACACCCAGACCGCCCAATTCCCGCAGTCTAGGCCACCAACCACCGATTCACATTTTGGCGGTTCCGGGAGCGGGTCTGGTGTTGTGCAACCTCTCTCAAACCCAAACCAGCAATTCTCTCCTTATTACGAACCCTACCCGCCCTTCAACTACTCGGCATTTCATCGCCCTGCAACCTACCAGCGTTCCTCAGTATCCCTACCCACCCCTCCGCAACTCTCCAACGACCAACCGAACAGACAGGACCACGCGGATGAGAACCACCAGCCAAGCCAGCATAGTCAAGCCCTCGACTCACACACCACGCCCGTTGCCATGAGTTCCGATCCAGGTGCGCCTCCTCCAGACAGGCGCGGCTTCACATTGCCGGCTTTGAATCCGAACTCGAACTCGAACCAACCTCCATCTGGCCCGCAGTCAAATTCTCAGGTCGCGTCAGGCTCCCGAGAACCGAGCCCGCCTAACGTCACCACTTCGGCTGACGCGCCGGCCGCGGCCGCCCCCGCTGCCGCTACCCCAACTCTCCAACTCCCTCTTCCGTCCGAGTATCCCAAACGTGGACCATAATAATCGCGGTGACGGTTACGTGAGGAACACCCACAACGCTGCGCCTAGTCGTGGTCAGTCAGTCATCCCGCCGAATCCTAGTTTGGCGACTATCACCTCCCGCCGCCGCCAGGCTATTACACGACGTCTGCGCCTGACAGACCACGATAGCGACGAGGAACCGGGGTCGTCGGCGGACGAGGAGGAGCAGATGTTGCGCTACATTGACGAGTTCGGTGGCAACCCCGCCCACTTTCGCTCTCTCGTGGCCGAAGACCACATCCGCGCCACCCAACTCCTGCGGGGACAGTTGTCTAACAAACGCGTGGCGTCCAGAAAGGCCCTCTCCTCGTTGCAGAGCGTGACCTTGGAAAGTCTCCCCGCAACGGAGCGAAGTAAGCCACCCTTAGCCCATTCATGTAAGCTCCCCTTGGTGCTAACCCGTCTCCGCAGCATGCGTCATCTGCTACAACGACTTCGGTCAGACCAGCCCGGAGGGCGTTATCGAAGCTCCGCTGCGCTTGCCGAGGTGCCAGCATGTTTTTGGGGACCATTGCATTAAAAAATGGTTCGAAGAGGCCGACAGTTGTCCCTACTGCCGTGACAAGGTGCCTTCGGAGCCCCCGCCTATCCCCGGCGCCCGGGCTTTCCATAACCTGATCCGCATGCGCAACCATATCCCCCCAGGAAACGCCCCTCCCGCAACGTGGGTGATTCCATAACCCCCCTCCCTCGATCTTCAGTACTTGGATAGGCCCAGCTAACATACCGTAGTGACGAATCAATCTTCCGCATGTTGGCACAGCACGAGCACCAGGACGCAGCTACTATGGACGCTGCCATGGACTTCACTAGGGCTCGTATCCGAGCTCGGCAGGAGGGAAGCTCGGACAATATCACGCCTCGCCCCTCGCAACGGAGGTCCCCCCCTTCCGAAGCCGAGAGCCGGAGGAGAACGCGTGTTCGCCATAGCAGCTTTCACCCCTCCCACCCGGCCACCATGTTTACGGGCGGGCACCTTAGAGCGACGCCGTCTGGATATCCGGGCTCGAGTCGTGAACGTGTAATGGCCCCTAACCATCTACCCGGGCTCGGTTTGCGAGCAGAATCGGATCGGCAGCTGCTGACACGGTACATGGAGAGACAGTCGTCGATGCCGAGCGGCCAGCGCATGTTCTACAACCCCGTCGATCCCGGGCATCCGTCCCACGCCGTTCCTCAGTCCGACCCGCCCATGCCGAGTTTGACGCCGAGCTCCCCCAATAACCCGACGCCCCCCGCAGCGCATTTGCAAATGCTTTCGGCGAATAACCAGGCCTATTATCCTAACCTGGCCTTTGGTAACGCCCCGCAACCCCCGTTCTCCCACCAACTCCCCCCACTTAGCCAGCCGAGCTTCGAAAACGCGGCCGGCAATAGCAGCGGGGCTCCCACCACTGCTAGCGGTGCGGAGAGCCAGATGCAGTAGCAGAGCAGCTGGAGATCACGAGAAATGCGTGCCGCGATGCCAAGGGTGGCGTCGCCCAGGACTGTGGCTCAGGTGAGCAGCCCAGTGAGACGATGGATGCAAGAGCACGAACATTTTTGGAATCAGGAGAGTCCCGACAATGTGTTGAGAGGATACTCGGGCCTACAAGTCTCAGGCGGCAGTCTCCTGACACCGCAAAACCCAGGGATGAGGTGGGGGAACAGCAACGTGGTACAGGAGTAGAACCGTCCCTCCACATCGCAGTCCTCGTCTATGGGGAGAATCCCGAATGCCTCGCAACTCCCAAATCTAGCACCGACCCCGATTAGGCCGCCACCATCACACGCGAGATTCTCTCGCCGAACCCAAAGCGGGAACTGGATGGCGTGGGATGGCGCAAATTTCATACGACAGGTCGGCCACAATAACAACACCACGGATTCTTTCGAGGACGAGGATACAGAGATTCCTGGTCCGGAAAACTCCTTGCCTTAATAATAATACATACCACTCTTTTTGTTCGGCCGTGGGGCAACAGTCTGGCCCTTGCCCTTCGGCTACTTTCTTCATCTTTCCTATATTCTTTGTCCTAGTTTTCCATTTTCATGCCTCCCCGTTCACGACACGAATACATGTTACCGCATCTCACTTTAGAGCGTCTGTTTTTTCTCTGGTTGGAGGGGCGCTTTTTTCCCCTTGCGCTTGGGGTTCGGTGGAGAGTTGATTCGGCGGTTACCCAAGAATGGCACGGATAGGCTACGACGCGGAGTCGGCGTTTTGACATGGCATTTTTACGGCTGGGGCGGTTCGGTTCGGTTCAGATTGGGCAAACAGGGAGGCGATGGAGCGCAGGGCTCTCGGAGCCTGGATGGGTGTGTGGTAGTGGGGTTTTTTTTTCCTTTTTCGATTCGTCTCTCGTTCTCTGCTCGCTTTCGGAAGGAAGCCTGGCTGCCGTTCTGCGCATGGTGACCTGGGGAGGCGCAGCAGTACCGGAGAAAAAACTAACAAGAAGTAAAGCACAGCAGCGGTCGGCCTGGACTGATGGCTGTTTTGGGTTGTTTCGAGATGGGTGGCAGCGTGCGTCCTTTCCCGTCCGTTGGACCACCCTACTGGGTTTCGATTCGATGGATCGTCATGGTTCAGATAGGGGTGGGTGGATAAGGTGGACGGGCGGATGGGGCACCCATGGGACGGACAGGGAACAACACACCGCTCAGCATACATGGATCTATCTATCGAGCTCTTGATTTCTGCTTTGAGTTTCGCAGCGAAGGGGCACTGCGCCGTACCTTTCTATCTAGTTAGGTAGTTTATGATGAGCGGGAAATACATAGCGAGCCACAACGCCGGGTACTTGTGTGTGTGTCGTGATGTGATGCAGTTACTAATCACTCCGACCATCACTAGCAGAAGCAAATTTGGCCAAGTAAAGAGCTTCGAGGAGCATTTGAGCGTGTAAATAGATAAAAATAGCTGTTAAGGTTTATTTCTGAGTGAATAGAGGTCCAAGTATTAACAGGAATCAGAAGACGATCAATGACTCGCTTCCAGGTCAAACCTGGCATTATCATCATATGCACATATACCTACCGGTATTCCACGCCGGCCATGCCTCAATATGCATGATAGATCAAATCTAGATGGGTATATATGTATGCTCCGTCTGCTCTGTTATGCTCTTTGCCACACATGTAATGCCTGCCACCCTTTTCTCTCCACCACCGCACACCACACACACACACACACACGATGGGAACACGAAAACCAAAAGCCATAGCCATATGAACAAACGTATAAACATATAGACAAACAGAGACCATAATCACGCAAATCACAACTTCGACTGCCTCCCCTTCCCCCCTTCTCCTCCCCCACCACTTCCACCTCCACCCCCTCCATGCCCTTGCCCACCACCACCACCACCCCCATTACCATCATCACCATCACCACCTTCGCCCTCCCTTTCACTCTCCCCCTCATCATCCTCCCCACCCCCATTCCCACCCCTCCCCTGACCACCACCACCCCCACCACCCCCACCACCACCAAGCCGACCCTCTCCCCTCGCGCTCTGCACCAACTCCCACGCGAACTCGGCCAGCGGCGCGCGCGCGTCACCGTACCGCCGCGCCTGCTCGCTGCTCGCCTGCCGGCCGGCCTGCCGCGCCGCAATCCCCTGGCAGATGGCGGCCAGGCGGAAGATGTTGAAGGCCTGCGCCCACTGCAGCTCGCGGCGCTTGTCGGGGTTTTCGGTGCTGTGGCTGTTGCTGCTACGATGGTGGTGGCGGTTGAGGTGGGCGGAGTGGGAGTGGGAGTGGTGGTGGAGGGTGAGTTCGAGGGAGGTGGTGGGGAGCGGGTTGCTGGGGGAGGGGGCAGCGGCTACGCTGAAGTAGAGCGTGGTGATCTCGTCGGGGGCGGGCAGGCCGCGCGTGGCGCGCGGGAGGAAGCCTGGGTGGACGTTCACGGACCGGCGTGGGTCGAGGCGCGCGGTGAAGTAGGGGGTGAGGAGGTTGGAGATGTCGGAGAGGGGGTGGCCTATTGTGGACATCTCCCAGCTAGAGGGGTGTTAGTTTCAAGGGGTCGAGTTATGGGGTTCCAGGTTGTGAGGAGGGTGGTGGGGACAGGGGATGCAAGCTGTAGGAGAACGAGAACGTACTCAAGAATGCCGATCACGCGGGGCTCTGTCTTGTGGAAGACGAGGTTGTCGATCTTGAAGTCGCCGTGGATGAGGGTGCCGCGGTCGGCGGGCTGCTGGCGCTCGTCCGAGAAGAAGGCCATGAGCTCGGCGAAGTGGGGGAGCGGGCCGACTGTCTCGCGGGTCTCGACGTCGCGGACAGCAGCTTGGGCATCGCACACGGAGCGCCAGGTGGCGATCTGGCGGTTGTAGAAGCCCGTGGGCTTGCCGAAGTTCTCGAGGCCGATGGAGCGTGGGTCGATGCGGTGCAGCTTGGCTAGGGTGCGGACGGCGTCGGCCCAGATGGCGCGGCGGTGGTCGGGCAGGACGCTGGGGATCACGGGGTCCTCAAAGATGCGGCCGTCGAGGAATTCCATGATATAGAAGGGCGTGCCGAGGACGGAGGTGTCCTCACACAGGCAGTAGGCCTTGGGAACGGGTACGTCGGTCCTCTCGAGGGCGTGAATAATGCGATACTCGCGTTCGACCTTGTGTGCCGTCTTGGACAGCAGACGTCCTGGCGGCTTCTTGCGGAGCACATAGCGGCGGCTGTCGGCGGCGGTCAATTGGTAGGTTGGGTTAGATTGGCCAAAGCCAAACTGGCGCGGTGGTGTTAGTTTAGATGTGATTGATAGTGGGGGGCGAGGGCCAAGGAGTGAGGAGTGCGATGTGGTTTATGGTGTTGTTAATGGACCTACCTGCTTGACATCCAAGGGCACCTCAATCTGGGGAACATTCTTGGAAATCCATCTCTCGAGCGCCCCAATGTCAATGGGTTGGCGCACGCGTCCAGCCATGGTGTTGACTGGATATGGATTGAATATCGAGTCGAATCTTGTGTTTCTTGGGGATGAAACAAGGAATCCTCCACGATGTTGATGTGGTGATGTGCTGTCGGCCACCTCGTTGCACCAATAGCCGCAGCACCAGCAACAACAGCTTCCCCGGGCCTAGCTCGGGTCGGAATGGGGTGTCCAGGCCCCAGGATCCCCGCCACCGCTACTTGCTTGGGCCTGTTCCACTCACTGCAACCAATGAAACCCGCCGTCCATGCGCCAAATCATAGCGCTCAACACAACTCTCAACCGAGCAACAAGCGTACGGTTTATGCTTCCCGATCCGAGGCCGAGGCAAGGCGGCAGAGTTGCGCCTGGAGCATTCCGAGCCGAGGTTGCATGGATCTGGCTTGAAGCGGCCGCGGCGCGGTCGCGTGCCTCGCTTCCCCGGCTTGAAACCCCGCACAGGATGGGTGACCTTTGCATTTGGAGATTTATTTGGGGCTCGGGAACGTATTCCCATGGATTGATGTGGGAGACAACATGATTGAGCTACTATGGATGGTCTATTAAATAATAGAACAGCGAGTATGGAAAGAAAAGTGTGAAAGAAAAGTATAAATAAAAAAAATGACAAAAAGAAGAATCGAATCTGGGATACCCAGAGAGGTGTTTCCAAAGATTGGGGAATGGAGTATTTTAGGCCAACTCACGGTCACATCCGGTAAAAGGCAGGAAATGAGTTCGGTCTGAGCGGGCCTACTCCAACGGTCTATCTCCAAACCCGACCTTATAAAGGCTCCTCCCTATTGACCCTACGGCTGCTCTGATTGGGCCCCGCTTATCGTTATCGGGCCTCGCCCAACAGCCGAGGATAGCCATGCCAGCCATCAGGGTGCCCCCAAAGAAGACAAACAAAACGAACCTGTGCACACAACTTATCGTCTTCGTTGATCAACAAAATATCATCCTTGCGAGCCAATGCACTGGGAGCGGACTAAGAAGCCAAGTTTTGATATCATTGCATAAAATTACGATTCCGCATGCCCAGCCCAACCCACAAACACGACGCCATGTCCACGCCCACGCCATTTTCCAGAGCGAGAGCTGTCTAAGCTAAGCCATTTATGAGGAGTCTTCCTCTAATCATCCTCAATATCATCATCACTGATCACCAGGCTCTGCATCGGCAGGCTCGGTTCCACTTCCAACTCGGGTTTGCCCTTTGTCGTCTTGCCGCTCAGGATCGCGCCCAGACCTCGCTTCTTCCGCGGCGAGCTCTCATCAGTGGGCTTATCTGTCGCCCAGGACTCGGTCGCACCCAACCCATTGTTGTTCTCGTCGTCGGCGGCATCATCACCTTCCTCCTCGCCCGCGCCGAGCGGCCCGATGCCCTGAAAGGAGACAATCTTTTCGAGATCCCTAATCTTCATTGTCCCGAAAGAGCACCGTTTGCGCCGGGCGATGTGCGCCATGTACGGCATCCGCTCGAGCAGCAGTTCCTGGCGCGCCGCGCTCCCCAATGAGAGCAGCGGCGGGGCGGCGATGGAATGAGGTTGTCCGTTGGCCTTGCTTTCCTGACGCACCGGTGAAGCCAGCGCCTGGCTACCGGGGAACCCGTTGGTTACCCCGCCCTTGCGGAAGGCAGACGATCCGTCCTTAACGAACCCCGGCGCTTGGGTCGACGACGGCCCACCGTCCTCGCCCTTGAGCATCTTAGTAGCCCACAAATCGGCCATGCCCTCTAATTCTTCCTTGCTCCGCCATAGTTTCAGATACGTCGGGTAAAACATTTTGTATGCGTCCCCGCCTCGCCAGTAGGGTGCGATTGCCGCTTCACCGGCGACGGTAGCGAGAACAGCAGCCCGCGCACGGCGACCTGGAATGCCATCTCGTCCTGCCTCAAGATGTGGCTTCCTGAATCCTTGCCCATATATCCACCTCCAAAGCCTTTGCCGCCGAAAAAGACGTCCCACGATGGGTAGAGTAGATCGCTCTCCGATAGGTAGTCCAGACAGCCATTGATGTAGTCGAGCGACGAGTTGGGGTCGAGTGGGCTGTTCTGCTCGCACGAGAGCGCGTAGTTCTCATGAAGCGCGGAGATAAAAGTGTGCGTGTCGGTACCCATCTCGTCGATTAGCGTGTCAACTGCTACTTCGGAGCGTTTGGGTCGGGCGAGGTGCGACATGTAGTCCGGTAACGTTTCGGTTACGGCTTCGGCGGAGCCTGGGGGGAATTCGCTTCCTCTCTTGTTGTAGACCACTTTGCCTACAGCGTGAAAAATCCCGAGTGTCGCCTCCCGTTGCGAGACTAGTTCCAAGGTATCCTGCTCGCCTTGGGTTAGAGCCGGAACGCCCTTGGCCCCGCGTTTTGGTTTGGTGAAGGCGACTTTGGAACCCCAGTCCGCTTCATCATCCCCTTTGACGCAGAAAAATTCGAGAGACGATATTGCGTTTCGAATGTCGCCTATCTCCCCTAGGCGTTGGAGGACAAGAGGCCCCGGTGTGCGCCGCCTCCCCGATTTGCGAGCTTCCTTCTGCACCACCAATTCCAAGGCCTTCGTTAGGAAGGTCGCCGCAACCGGGTTGAACTCGATAACACCGGTTCCTGGGTGTTTCAAGATCTCCGGACCAAGGAGCCGATGGGCAGTAAAACTGTCTGCCGAGGCCGATGTCGTTGTGAGTAGCGTCTCCGAGATGACCATCACGATTGGCGTAATAGCCTCCGAATTGGAGCCGAACGCAAACCCGCCCAGCGCAGGTGTGTTGGCCGCCAGGAACTGCAAGATGGCGTTTCTGAACCCCGTGAGGCCGCTTGATGATCGCATAAATGTGTTCGGAAACTCCTCCACTAGTATCAACCTTCTCTCCGTTCCTTTAGGCACTCCATTCCCATTCGCACTCGCAGGGGGAGGTGGCGGCACCGGAGGCGGCGTCCCTCCATCAGACTCAACATCTAGCTGCCCAAACTTCCCTCCTCTTCCCAGAAACTCTTCGAATTGCGCTGCGGCCGACTGGTATCCATGTCCAGCAACCCCAAATGAATTCGCCGGATTCCTCCACTCCAATACCTCACACCGCATATCCCTCGCCAACAATCGCAGCGTCGTCGTCTTCCCCGATCCAGCAGCGCCCTTCAGCACCAGCAGCCGCTGCCTCATACGCCCGGCGAACACCTCGTCCAGCCATTTTCTCACATCCTGCACTTTCCGCTTGTGCACCGCCAGTTCGTCGAGGTTAACCGGCGCGAATCGTTCCGACCAAGGGCGTGCATCGTCGTCGTTGCTCGGCGTTTTCGGTGTGCTGGACTTGGACGGGCGGAGGAACCGTTGCCCCCCCGTGCCCTGCGAACTACGTTGTGATGCCGTAATTCCATTGCCGTTGCCAATTCCATTCCCGACCCCATTCCCGTTCCCATTCCCATTCCCATTCCCATTCCCATTCCCATTCATATTACCCTTTCCCACCCCAGCCCCAGAAGCAGCCGTACCAAACCTCTTCTGCGCCGCCCTAGCCCTCCCAACCAGACTCGACGCAGCCGCCGACGCCGCCGACACCATCAACGGCACGTCGTCATCATCCTCCTCCACAACCCCATTCCCCTCCGAGATCGGATCACTAACAATGTCATCCAACCTCCCACTGCTCAGATGCAAACCATTCCCACTCCCACTCCCACCCCCACCAAACGAACCTGCCGACGACGCAAACGACCCACCACCCCCATCACCCAAACCCTGACTCTGCCCCTGCCCCAGCCCCAGCCCCTGACTCCGCCTCACCTGCTGCGAAAACAGCGTCAGCAGATCCGCCGACCGACCCCCCTCCTCCTTCTTCTTTTTCTTGGGGCGTGCCACCACCACCACCACGCCCACCGCCGTCATAATCGTCATCGCCATCCTCCCCACCAGCAGTCGCTGCAGCGGTGGCGGCCGCCGCCTTCCGCTTCCGCTGCGCGCCGGCTCGCGTGCGGTTTTTGAGTGGGCTGGCGCTTGGGCTACGGGTCGCCGCGAGACGTGTCGTCGATGGGGATGGTGGTGCGAGAGTGGTGCGGGTGGCGCGTTTGCGGAGCGGGTTTGGGGAGGGAGGAGGGAGGGTGTTGGTAGTGGTGGTGGTGTTGTCGGTGGTTGTGGTCGTGGAATTGGGGTTTGGTTTGTTGGGGGATCGGGCTTTATCTGGGGATGAGAAGAGGAAGCGCTTTAGGGTGTTTCTGTTTTGGTCGTCGTCGGAATCGGGGTCGTCGACGATAGCGCGCTTGCGTCGCTTTGCGGGCGGCGCCATTGCGGGTTTTTTTGGGTTTGGTCGAGGTGTTGCATTGGTTCGCGTCACATTGGAAGGTGGGCGGGTTGAGATATTGGTTGCGCGTGTCTCAATGGAATCGATTCGAGAGGGTGGTTGTTGTGGTGTTCAGACCGTCTGGTTGATGGCAGCCAATGGATTCGATGTTCCAGGCAACCAGGAGGGGAGCTGAAAGTGGCTGCAGATTGCAAGTTCGGCTGCGATTGACAGGGGTTTAAATATTTCTTGGCGATATTGTAAGAGTATAACCCTAACCCCAATTTGAACGCTCTGCTCTCCAACACAACATGACGATGACGTACACATTCCCTCATGAAGTTCCGTAGTTATACTCTTGATCTGTGTGGCTTAGGGAGAGATTTCCTTTTGAAGCTGCAAAGGCTCGAATAATCCAGCATCACATGAAAACAGCCTTATCAAATCATGATCCCTCGAGCCAGCAACGTTGTCTTGCCCCCCTGCCTCTTTCACAGATCAGATGGGATCTAGGAAGTCAGCACGAGTACATTATTCGGTCACTCAGTCGCTATCTGGGTATGCAAAGTCATGGTGTATCCCTCCTATAAACCCCATTCCATCCCATCCTCAACCCCCGCGCTCTTCAAGACCCAGCCTAAGAAAAAAACGTAAACACCTCTCACCGCCACCCAAACATCAGTTGATGATATCGGTGTCAACCCTACAAAAGTCGACCTTCCTCAACTCAAACTTGACGCTTTCGCTTCCCGGCTCAACAAACCCGTCGTCCTCATCATCATCCTCATCATCATCCTCATAATCCTCATCATTGTCATCATCATCAATATCCGTCTCCGCATCTTCATCATCCTCACCCTCCCACGAATTAGCAGCATTCACGAACACCGGATGCTGGCCGTCCTCTTCGTCATCAAACTCCTCGTTAGACGACTCTTCTTCGTCCGAATCATCAAAACTCGAAGCCGGGGACGATTCAGTCGCTCTTGAACCCGCACCGCGACCGGCCAATGGCGTAGCTGGCGCCTCCAAAATCTCGAAACAGCTCAGGCCTATGCCGAGATAACGCAGTCCGACCTCCGGACGGAGCGAAACGACGTCCAGGATCTGGTTGGCAAAGTCCAGCTCGGATAGCGCGGTAATATTGATTGTTGGATGTGACAACATCTTTTGGAGGTGGAGAGCACGCAGCTGCGGTATATTGGGGAGGCGGCGGAGGAAGGTGTGCTTTGGTTTGCCGCTACCGTTAGTCTGGCTTTCATTGCTTAAGCTTCCCCCACGGGGGGGGGTGGTAGGGCGAAGGTTAGGTAGGAGGGGGAGGAGGGCGGAAACATGTGGCGAGGCTTACCCAGTCCTTGAACTTCATTGTGACAAACAGTGCGGCCAGATTTTTCATGCGGCCACTGGTGAGGTATAATGACATTTTAGTAGGCAGGGCCCAGCCCAAGCCATAAGCATTGAGAAGCACATTGCGCAGGCTCTTATGGTGTGGTTTGATGGCTCCCTTGAAGATAGCATTCATGGATAACAGAGAGCCCATAGGGCTCCGTCGATGCAGTAGAGACAAGTCCTCGAGCGAGTTTGGCGCGAGGGTCTCTTTGATAAAATCGATTAGGGGTAAGGACGTGGCGTCGGTGTAAATGACCTTGAGAGCGAGGTGGTACTCTCGCTTGACGTTGGCAGATGGCTTTTCTTTCGATGAGACGCTGGGGATTGTACGCACCGGAGTCGGACGGAAGTGCTTGCGCAACATTTTCCATAGCCTTTCGAGCTTGCCGCAGCGGAGCAGAGTGAGGTTGGTCAATACCGACCAATCGAAGGCATATATACAGACGTGAATAGACAAGGGAACTCGCTCCAGTCTCAGCTTTTGTAGCTTCAGCTTCCCTTTCAAGCGTTCCCTCCTGCTGAATTCGGGCTACCAGACTTCAGGCCCTTGGAAAGAGTGGGCAAGAAAGGGGTCGTCTCCCCAGGTTGGAAGCCCGGAGCATCGAGAGCTGGCTGGGCCTGGATTTTCCGCTTCGGGATATCGTAGACCTTCCCTACCAACAGCCCGAGGACGCCCCCTAGTCGCCTCGCCCCAACTGTGCTTTCACCCAGCCACCGCGCCCGATGATCGATTTGTTCAAGGCTAGGACCGTCCTAGGGATAGATAAAGGCCAAATTGAGGGCTCTGACCGAAATTCCAACATGAAGTTCCTCAAGTGTGTCCTTGGAACGCCCGATGAGGACCGCCATTTCGTCTAGATAGCCAATTTCATCGATGTCCAAAACAGTCAGACTTTTGAGAGGCGGAAGCACACTGAATGTGGGATACCCACAAGGGGATTCGGAGTACGGAACCGGTGCCCGGGGGCGCGGGTGACTGTAACCAGGAGGGAGCATAAGGCCAATAGACGTAGATCGGGTTCCTTGTGGAACCAACGCCATGCTGTGTATACTGACATAGGACTCCTAGCGTCCAGTATTTTTCATGTGACCAGTCCTATCGTGCCAGCGGACCCTTACGCAACTCAGCTTACACGTTCTCCCGGGTCGGTGAGCTAGCGAGCCCAGAGCCTCGAAGACGCGGGGATGTACGCCCGTGGGCATATCCCAGGAGAAGATCTCGAGGTTGCCCATTCTGCCGATGGCATTGGCGACCAGACTCCCAAGTATCATGCCGCCGGTGCTATACGCCATATATTCTATGACCATGATCTCCGGGCTATATCCTAGGTGGAACGTTTTAGTGTACTGCCCGTGGTTGCGGGTTGAGAGCCGGACCGATCGGGGAGTGTTCTGATGGTCGTTCCCGCCTACCCCGCGAGCGAAGGTGCTCCCAAGGCAGACTGTCGACAAGCCCGATATGAGATTTTGGATGCCATTGTGTCCAGGCCATGCAATATCAAAGTGTGAGTAGATGTGTGGAGTGACGAGGGTGTGGAAGGTTGTGTTTGTCCGCGCAAGGACCGTCAAGTCGTGCAGTGTCATGCGCTAAGGCGAGCGGCATAGGTTAGTGATTGTGGAGTGCCAAAGTAGAGTATTCCACATACCTTGATAATCAGCTGTAGGATGTCGACCGGGAGATCCAAGAGAGTTGGAGAACGTTTGCGGTGAGACTTGGCCCATGATGGCAGGGCAATCTCCGGGCTTGCCTTCTCCTAGCTTGAATCTGTGGTAATAGTCGGCGGATCCGTCATGGGGACGACCTCTCACTCATACAAGGTGGCACGGGAGGATCTAGCAGAACAGGAGGTCTGCTAAAAAGTAGGGCTTGAAGGAGTGGTTATTAAAGGGTAGCACTTGCGCATCATCGGGTGCTGGTAGTCGGTCGTAATATTCTGATGCTGATGGCATGTGAATTTATGAGTGTTAAAGTATAGGTAGGTAAATGTTTCTATTGTCGACATGGATCTGCTACTTATGTGAATGCCATGGGACTCGAGGATGCAGCCTTGAAACATACCGAGAGCGGGTTCTCATCTGCGCTTCGAAAAGATTGCCTGGAATGTCTTGGGGAAACCCGCGGTACCTAGCGAAGCAACTTGAGCAGCGGCGATTCGGCCGTTTACTTACCTATTTTGGCGATGCCATGACGAGACTGCGACTTCCATCTTAGGAGCCGCTGTTGCCGCCCTCGAGCCTCCGGGGGCGGGGGAGGGGTAAGTACTCAGCTGTGAACAAGACACAAGACGCAAGACAAATACCTCTCTGAATAAGTGCCAGGTGAAGTGTGCATGTTGGTCTCATCCACTCACTTATTCAATTTCAATACTCCAAAGCCGGTTGCTCCACCAATGTCTGGGGATATGATCGCCACCACGAAATCAATACCGACAGGAATTTTGCTGCGAGTGGAGCATCGTCACACGACAACCGCCCAAAAGCTGCTGCCCAAACATATCCCATCTTAACTTACCTTGGGTAGTTCTTTCCTAAACAGGAAGGACCACCTGCATCTGGGGTGGTCGACTTTTAGATGCGGCCCCCGCCTTTGACTACCCCGACCCCACGTTCTTTTCTTCCCACACCAGGCCATAACTCTTTCAGCTCTCCATCCGTTCTTCACAAGATGATGCCCGATGGATCTCCAGGTTTTGGTTTCAGAGAGCACCGGAAATATGGTGCTGGGCGTCTTTGACCGGGATATCATCTCACTCGCTGTCGCCATCTGATGAAGCAACAAGGCCTCGCCGAGCTTTAGGTGGTTCCGACCTCACCCACGCGCATTCGTTTCGTCGACAAACAACCCCGCCATTTCACAGACGTCGGCTGCTCCCCGCCGTTGCATCGGTCCTCTTGCCGGGCAGCAAATGACGAAAAGAGGGAGGCCGAAGTCCCTGCGCGCATATAGCGCCTAGAGACCATTTAACCGTATTTTAGATAATCCTTGTTCAGCATCGCGGTCCTCTCCTCTGTTCTATTTAAGAGACCTTGAGAATCCTGTGGGTTGTTTCTGTGCACCTAGCTGGTTAAGTGCCTCCTTCATCCCCTGTCATCACTGTTGCTCCCCACTCAAACAGTGCCCTGAGGCTTGGCGCGGCTGAGCTCCCGTTTCGCTGTTGGCCTTGTCGCGTCGTCATCTCTGCCCAACCGCATCCCCCCCATCCGTCGCTACTTGGATAGTTGACACGCTGTTGTTTGGGCGCAAACAGAAAACCACGTTGCCTAAAGCTAGGGGTGAGTCTTCGCGGTGGCCCTCCACAATTTTTATTGAAAATGTGACATGCATGTCATTGCCAGGTTTTCAGGTTGCCTACTTCTTGATCGGCTGTTTAAAATGGCCGCGTTGCCGCCCCGTGATCCCACGCTGACTTGATCCCGTCACCTGCAGCCAAGGTCGAACGCTTCATTTTATATCGCATACGGTTCTCGAGCCTAATGCGCAGTCGCAGCAGTCGCAGCAACGCCGCAATACGAACTAGCCATTATTCCCTCCTCTACCGTATCAACAACCAAACTCCCTCACCGAACATTCCGAAGCTATGGCATCCTTTGTAGAAGGCCTGTGGCAATCCATCTTCACGCCGGGCCCGACGCCCACGCTGCTCGTAGCGACAAACGTCACATTTGCGGCCCTGCAAGTGGTGCTTGCCAGCCTGCTCTACGCGACCCACAGCATCCACTTCCTCATCCTCTCCGTCCTGTGCGGCGGCCTCTGGGCAGCCATCAACTGGTTCGCGCGCGAGCTGAAGGCGCATCAGCAGGAGGAGGAGGAGAAGAAGCGGCGCACCCTCGCGGCCCGCCCGCCACCACCGCGGGCACCGTCGTCGGACGACAGCGAAACCGAGGTGGAGGCCGCGACGTCGACGGCCAGCCTGCGCAAGGTCCCAACGATAGCGCCGGTGGCTGCGAAGGCCGCGGCGGTCAGCACCGAGGTGGAACCGGCTGAGGCGCGCGGGGAGCTGAAGCTCAGGGTCGCGGAGGAGCTGCCGAGTCCGAGCCAGGGGCAGAGGAGTGGTGTCAGCACCGAGGACGAGTGGGAGAAGGTTTCTGAGAACGAGAAGGATAAATAAATAAATAAATAAAGCGTTGGGGTATTGTTGGTAAGAGTCTTGTGTTGGCTGTCAAGGGGAGGACGCCATAGGATATGGGCAGATTTGGCTGGGTTCTGTCCTGTTCTAGAGATGTAAATAGTCACAGCAGGCTGGGGCCATAAAGAAAGCTCCAGAGCTGAAATACAGTCACCCAGCAGCAGATTTTAACGAGCTGGCTCAACCCACACCGTGAATCCCTTACCAAACTCTATTGATGAGCCGTCAGGTTCCTGTATTGACTTGTAGCCATAACGGCCTGTGATCGAGCTGTTCCAAAATCTTGAATGCATGGCGGGGTTCAGGGAGTCACCGCGTCTTCCCACTCCCAGCTTTGAACCATGTAATAACATGAGTGAGTGCACGTGATCTGAAATTTCAGGCTTGGCATTCAACTCTCCATGGAGCTCCAGCCTGGACTGCGACTCTGTTCGAGCTGCGATACCGACGACTACGAATAAACATTGACAAGTCCTATCCCCCCAAAAAATCACAACTACGGGTTACTATTCGGAGCAGTTTAGCTGTCTCCCCAAAACTCCGTCAACATGAAGCTAGTCAGGTAAGTCGTCAATCTCCACCATATTATCTTTTGCATAGCACCCAAGACACGGCACGCGCCTCAGCATACCCGACGAACTCCCAAAGCAAAGAAGACCAAAGAGCGGATTCACGCCCATTTCCATTCTCAATCCAAACCTCCACCCATCCAATCTACCACCCACTCAAAGAGCCCCCAGCTAACAACTCCGTGCGTCCCCACGCAGATTCCTCATGAAATGCGCCAACGAGACGGTCACGATCGAGCTCAAGAACGGCACCATCGTGCACGGCACCATCGCGTCCGTGTCGCCCCAGATGAACACGGCCCTGCGCAACGTCAAGATGACCCCGCGCGGCCAGGAGCCCATCCACCTCGAGACCCTCAACGTCCGCGGCAGCACCATCCGCTACTTCATCCTGCCCGACTCGCTGCCCCTCGACACCCTGCTGATCGACGACGCCCCCAAGCCCAAGAATAAGGCCCGCAAGGAGGCTGATCGCGGAACCGGGCGTGGTGGGCGCGGTGGGCGTGGTGGTGGACGTGGGATGGGGAGGGGGAGGGGGAGAGGCCGTGGGAGGGGTTTCTAAGGCTGGTTTGGTTTGGTCTGCGATGCTGGAAGGGGAAAGTTGGGGGTTGTGGCGCCTGATGGCCGTGTGGGTGCGCCCTCTCTACCTATCGAGATGACTAGGCGCCGTGCCGGCATGTGGATGACAGGACGGAGTCGAGGAAGAACCGGGTGGACGACGAATTTATCTACACTCCCAACGGGGACGGGTCATGCCGTGGGCCTGGCTTGGGAGGGTGGGGAGGTTGGCCGGACAGCGCCGATCCAGTTCGGTTGAGACGGGGCTGTCTGTCTTGCTGGCCGCCGCGGGTTTTAGGGGCGGCTCTCCATCGTATGGCGTTCTACGACGGACTGAAAAATGCCATGGGGTTCTTGCTTGGTCTGGCATCTCGCGGACGTGTATGTAGCAAGCTGTGGGCTGTCTTACTTCACAAGAGGAGGAACAGCAAATAATACCCATCAAACACCACCGCATCTCCATGTGACTGACCGCTTACTTTTACTCCCGCCATATCCTCACAATCTGCAGCTTCTCCCATCCGGCCTGCTTCCCGCTCGTCCCGACAGTCTCTGCCTTCCATGCCCCGTCTGGCAACCCCCTGATCCTGCTCTTGACCTCCTCCGGCTTATTCTGCGCGCACAGCAGCAGATACGCAACCCCCCTATCCGACAACACCTCAGGTAACGCCTCAATCAACCGATCCGTAATCTCCATACCATCTCTGCCACCGGCGTACGACAGCGCCAACAGCCGCGAATCCTCCTCGTACGCCGCCGCTGTCGTCGTCGTCGCCTGCCCCCCTCCTCCCCCTTCTCCTCCAGCCCCGCCTCCCTGCTGGTACATAGACGGCAGCTCCGGCGTCGGCACATACGGCGGGTTGAACACCAGCACATCCACGCTGCCCGCCCGCACCGCCCCAACCAAATCCCCCTGCGCCGTGCCCAGGTGGTACCCCGCTCCAGTCGCAACCCCCCTTCCAACCCCATCCGCATCCGCACCCCCCTCCCCCTCCACCAGTGTTGTCTCTAACGGTAGCGCGTCATCCCTCACCGCACGAAGGACGGTCTCACGAGTCGCCGCGCACGCAAAGCGGTTGACGTCGATGCCGAGGGTGAGCACGTCGCGCCGGGAGAAGAGGGTGTTGGCGTGGGCGGTCAGGAAGGCCAGCACGACGCCGGAGCCGGGGCCGATTTCGAGGATCAGGGGGGTGGGACTCGGAGAAGGGGTGGTGGTGGCTGTGGTGGTTGGAGTGGTGGTGGTGGTGGGGAAGCGGGTGGCGAGGAAGGCGGTTTCGGAGGGGGAGGAGAGCGTGTCGAGGAGGAGGAAGGAGTCTTCGGCTGGCTCGTAGACGCGGGCGTAGGGGACGTGGGAGGTGGAGGGGGTGGGGAGCATTTTGCGGTGTTTTCTCTTTTTTTTTCGGAGATTTGTTTTCTTGGTTGGTTTTGTCTGCGCTGTTCGGGCGGTAGTGGGGTTGAGTTGAGTGGTGATGGCTTCACTTTTGACGGATTTGGTTGATGGAGGGGGTATGTGAGTGAGGGATTACTTGGGAGCTGGAGAAAGAAAATCAAGTGGTGGGGCACGTGATAAGCAGTGGATGATATGAGCATGAAGTCTCTTACTCTACTTAAACCTGCAATTCCACGGTTCTGCTAAAAACAAGCTATAAAGGAGCTTTAACTCAGTACCCCTGGCAAGGGTGAGTGAGGTCGTGATGCAAGTGAGTGAAGGCTCCCATCCCCATCCATAAACAGATGAACTTGCACCATCGTCCCTTATTATTACACTTCATCCATAATTAACGGAACGCACATATTGGAAATCAATCTCCTAGACGCAATAATAATAATGATATGTTCCTCTCCAGCCCATCCGCTCAACAACCCATACCCAAGACCCCCCTCTCAACTCATCGGTCACCATATCCACCCCTCCCCCCCAGCCTGTTTCTCCCTCCCCTCCCTATACCTTTTCCTGCCCAACCTCTCCAAACTCCTCACATAACACAACACGCAACATCACACCCCGGAATCCGCCGCGTCCGGGCCCCAACCCCCAGCGAAAGCCATACCGAACCTTGGTAACCATCCGGACGAGATTCCGATCATAACTTCTCCCGAGATCACTACTTCCTCGTCAGCACCATGTGCATTCACACCCAACCCTCATGAATAATCCACGCCCCAATAATAAAAGTGCAAATACCTAACGGCAATAAAGCGAAAAACGCACCACTTAGGACACGGCTCCCCCTGCGCAACCAGCCTCGGCGGCAGCGGCCGGGCCTTGCCGTCGACAAACTGCGGGCAGGTGTCAAATCCCATTCCGGGGTAGCAGGGTGTGGTGATGATGGCCCAGCGGTGGCCACAGTGGAAGTCGCGGTAGTGGGTGACGAGACACATTTTGAGGTCTCTCCTTTTTTGGGTTGGCTGTGTGTTTTGTTTCCCTGTGTTTGGTGTGGTTTGACGATGTGCTCTGGGAAGTTTGAGCTAGTTTTAGGATTGACGAAAATAGGCAGAGTATTGTCAAGTTGTTTCTGCAGGAAGGCGCGAGAGTTGGAGGTGTAACGGGTGCCAAAGTTGGAGGAACACTGATCTCTAGTTGGTGCTGGTTGGGGACAGTTTGAAGTGCCCACCCATACATACCACCATGATCCGAAGCCAGCACTGCGATCACCCACCACCTGAAAGTGAAAACGCCAATTCTTTGTTCTTCATATCATCGGATTCAAAAACACATGCCACGCTGCTGCTTCAAAACACCCCGCAATGCAAACCCCGCCTTCTAGAAGTTCCTCCTCACAACTCACTCACCCACTCCCACTCACTCCTCATCAGCCTCCCGATTCAACTCGGCCAACGACAACGACCTCCTCCGCCCAACCCCCGGTGCCCCATCCGGCCCGCCCCCATCCGAGTCCCCCACATCCACCACCATCCCATCACTCACACTCCCACTCCCACCACCGCTCCCACTCGACGCAACCATCCCCTCCACCAACCTCTCCAACAGCCCCTCAATTCTCTCCATGCGCTCCTCCAACGCCTCCAACCCGCGACGTGATATCACTAACCTCATCACTCTCACTCAGCACGCCCTGCAGCTCCGCTCTCAGCCCCGGGAAACGGCGCAATACTGTCCCTGCGCCCCACCGTCCTCGGAGGGCCACCCAGCAGCGGTCCCGGTCCCGGCGGCGGGTGTGGCGGCGGGGGCGTCGCAATCCCTTTGCCGTGGCCCTTGTCGCTGACCAATTCCGAAGTTAAAACCCACCCCGGGGGATGGGA